ATTCTCAACTATCTAGATCTTCAAACTTCAATTCTTCAGCTAAGTGTAAACAGAATTTGAATTCTCAAATTTCTGTTAAGATTAGAGAATTGAGAAATGACTCTGATGATAAACTAGATATAATGTAAGTAGTTAAGATTTCTACTTTTCAAAATTGTTATAATCTACTATCTGATAATAGAGATTAGATTCTACTCTATCTCTACTCTCTCTTAGTATGAATATACAACAAAAATAACAAAAAAAGTTTAAAAACTCTTCAAAAATTACATTTATTTAAAATAATGTGAATAGAAACTCAAATTGCATTTATTCTTATCTTCAGATTGCATTTGAATAAAAAGTTGACTTTGTACTTCTTCAAGAATCAAACTTTGATACTGAGTAAAAGTACATCATTTCTCATTCAAGCTATTACTACTTTCTTCCTGAAAAATCTGAGATAAAATCAAGAGTAGCAATCTATGAGAGAAAAAGATCAAGATATCAATTGAATTTGAGATTTAATATCATATCTGACTCTGATATTCTAGTGAGTGATATTATAGATAAAGAGAATAAGTTTGATACTATTCAACTTATAAATATCTATAATGAAAAGTCATTGAAAGAAAACAATAATATCTGAACAATTAATAGAGAATTTTTGAATATAACTTTCTTAAAAAACTCTATAATTGCAGAAGACTTCAATGCATATCATCTCTGATAAAACTCAGAGTGCACAAAAGCAGTAAGAGCAGATAAACTAATTGAATGAACTTTTAAACATTCAATAGATTTAGTTAACAAGTCTGATCAATAAACATTCTTTAGAAAAGATATGAAACAGAAATCTATTATAAATCTAACTTTCATATCATAAAATCTAATTGAAAAAAGACTTATAAACTGATTTATTGATTTAAATGAAACCTCAGAATCAGATCATGAGATTATTCAATTTGATATTGAACTGAGTGAAAAATAAAGAAGTGAAAATTCTCTTCTCTCTAATCAGTATAACTTTGAAAAAGCTGATTGAAAAGCAGTTGAAGAAAGAGTAAAACAGCTGAAATCTGAAAGACAGAGTGAGCTCTATTGAAATCAAAGTCAAGATATCTCAAATGAAATACTTAAGAATAGAGTAAAGCTGATTACATCTATTCTTCTAACAAGTATTGAAGAAAATATTTCAAAGAAAAAGTCTTCTGAGTATTTCAAACCTTGATGAAATAAGAATATCACTTCTAAAAGAAAGCAATTAGTCACTGCTAAGAGAGAGTGAAAGAATAACTTAATATCTGATAAAGAGTTCAAAGCTATTTAAAATGAATATTTTTCAGATATTAAAAAAGCCAAAACAGATTGCTGAAACAAATTTCTTAAAGAAGTATAAGAAAAAGAAGTTTTTAAAGCCTTTAACTATACTAAAACAAGAAGTGTAGCAAAGCTTTTAATCTTAGAATATGAATTTCAGAATGAATTGTATACAGTAAACTCTTTTGAGAAAAAATGTCAAGCTTTTATAAGAATTCTCTTTCAAAACTCATCATATTTAGAAGAGAAGAATATGTCATTTCATGAATATATTAATGAAAATAACTGAGAATGGTCTGAGCTTACAGGTGATGAACTAGAGTCAGTAATATTCTCAAGTTCAATGAAAACTGCTGCAGGGCCTGATTCAATTAATCATTTAATTATTCAAAACATATATTTCTACTTGAAGAATGAATATTTTACACTCTTTTTCAATCTCTTAAGAAATGATTATCATTCTGAATGCTGGAGAGAAGCTACTGAAGTAATCCTTGTAAAACCTAATAGAAAAGCTTCAGTTTCTAAGTTATATAGAGTAATATCTCTGTTGAACTGTTTAAGAAAAGTTCTAGAAAAGATAATAGCTATTAGATTATCTTTTATAAGCTCTATTAATGATTCTCTTCTATTTAATAAATAAATGAGAGATAGAAAACAATGTTCTGCAATTGACACTGTTCTCTCAGTTATTTATAATATTTAAGTAGTAAAGTATGAAGACCTGATCTCAACTGCAGTTTTTATTGACATAAAAGATGCATTTAATCATGTTTCAAAGTCTAAGATGATTTAAACTTTGAAGATGTTAAAACTATCACTTTCTCTAATAAAATGAGTTGATTATTTCATATCTAAAAGAATTATACAACTATTCTTTGATGAAAGAAAACAAGATAAAACTGAGATAAAAATAGAAGTATTATAAGAATCTTTAATCTCATCTGTTTTATTTACAATATACACTGCATATTTATTCAAGAATAGAGAGATGAAAATAGTGAGATTTTCAAGTTATATAGATGATATTAATCTACTCTACAGTTCAAAGACAATTAAAGAGAATTTAGAAGTGATTGAGAAAGCAGTAAAGAAAATCTTTATTAGAGCAGATATCAATCTAATTCAATTTAATATGAATAAAACTGAGTTAATTCACTTTTTTTTCAGATTTAATAAGAAAGAACTAAGTCTAACTCTTCTGAATAAAGAGATTAAACCCAGTTTGAATGTCAAATGACTAGAAGTATGATTAAACTCTAAGTTGAATTTTAAATATCATATTCAACAAAGAATTATCAAGACAGAGAGACTACTGAATAATATAATCAGACTATCAAATACTGAGAGAGATCTATCTTTTCAGACTATAAGACAGTTATACATAGCCTGTATTATCTCAGTAGCTGATTATGAAGTTTAAGTTTGATGAAATAATCAAGATAACTTCACTGAACTATTTCAAAATCTATAAAATAGAGCTTTGAGAAGAATTCTGAAAGCATTCAAAACATCTTCTATTAAAGCAATAAAAATTGAAGCCTCAATTTCATCTTCTGCTATTCAATTTGAAAAGGCCTGTATGAACTATGCTCTGAGAGTCATAAAGATGAGCTTAAATTATATAATCAGAGAAAGAGTCTCTTCTTCATTTTCATCAGTTAATTCAGAAAATGAACTGAATTGAAATAGATTTCTTGATTGAAATGAGAATAATACTTTAAAGAAAATGCTCTCTCAACTGTATAGACTATATTCACTTATTAAGAATCAATTTTCTTTATTAAATGTTGAGAAAATTGATCATGAGAAGATATCTCTCTGAAGAGAAAAGCTGAAATCTCTTATAGACTTATAAATAAGTGAACTATCTAAAGAGAGAGAATATGAACAGCATTTGAAGAAGATCTCTACAATTAATATAAAAGACTCTATTCTGATTTACTCAGATAACTTAAAAAATGAGAATTTAAATAGATTAGATGCAGACATTACTTATACTGAAGATAATATTAATTTTATCTCAGATTTCTGAAATTTAGGCTGTGAATCTGAAGTCTTTGATGCTGAACTATTTGTAATAGTGAAAGCTTTCAAACTCATTGAAATAAAATCTTATAAAAGAGAAAATAGTTTGAAAGAGATATGAATATTCTCTGATAGTCAAGCTGCTTTAAAAAGACTTAGAAATAGTCAGATTTATAATGATTAAATGAATCTTGATCTGATTTTAAACTCTGTTTTAAAGATTTAAAAGAGAAGAATATTTAAACTGATAATTTATCTATATTGAGTTCCTGCTTATATGAATATTCACAACAATGAATTAGCTGATTCAGCTGCTAAAAAGAGTTCAGAATTAAGCAGATTTATTCAAAAAACAGTGTTTTGATCTTTCATAAAGAGAAAGATAAAAGAATCTTATTTAAATAAGTGAAATGAAATCTGATAGAAATAAAAGAAGAGTATATATTATTCAAGATTTGAGATAAAATCAAAGTGAAAATCTTGTTCAATTAAATATAAAAAGAAAATATTCTCATTCATAATTCAGTTAAAACTAGAATATGATTATTTCAAATTCTATATACAAAGATTTAATGATAGATTTGATTCAACAGAGTACTCATTCTGCAATATAAATGAGAATTCTGAGTATATTGTAATGTATTATGCATTATACAATAGTCTCAGAGTCAGATTAAAGAAGAAGTATGATTTAAATCTATTAAATATAAGGTTCTTATTCTCAACTGAGACAGAACTTAAATACTTAATAGACTTTCTATCAGAAACTCAAGCAGCTATAAGAAAATGACTCAACTCAGAAGTATCTGAATATGAAGAGATGAAAATTAATTAGATATAGTCTGTTAAAACAGCTATATACTATCTTTTAATAATTTTATTTTGTTATAGTCTCTCTTTACTGTACTTGTTTCTTTCTGTTCTTTTCTATCTATCTATTTAATGTGTCTATCTTTAAGACTATGTTCTCTTTTTCTTTGTCATGATATTTTTAAATGATTTCAAAGTATTAATAGGTGTTGAAATACTGTAATTTGTAAACAGTTTTTGTATTCTGAGCTGGAATTTTCTGATTTTGCATATCTGAAATTGATAAGTGTATAATAGTTGACTCTATAGATATAGGAAAAACCCTGAGAACTAAAGGTTCTCAGATAGATATCATAGTCTCTGACTGCATACATCTATAATTGAAGAATAATAATAATAATAACTAGTTAACTGTCTTCACAATGAATGCTATTCTATAATATATTATCTCTAAAAGTGCACATATTATTGAAATTAAATACTGTTTATTCATAAGATCTTGATGAAAGATGCAAGTACAGCTGCTCAATTCACTGAACATCTGATCTTTTTCATTCATACTTTGCAAAAAGCAGCTGTAATATGAGTACAGCTGCTCTACTCACCGAACAGTTGTTATATTGGGGCTGACCTTTTTAAAAAAAGTGGAGATCTGTACAAAAAGAATGAGTACACACGGCCGCACCGAACAGGCCCTTATACTTGATCGCCATGTTTCATGTAGTTTACCGAATTTCAAATCAAGCCAAGTGGTCTAGGGATTAAAAGAAAGAGAATGGAAATGGTTGTACAAAATCATACATGGCCGCATAGCATTTCTAAAACCGGATATGACGACGAAATAACGCAATTTTGGGAACCTATCATGATGTACTCTCTCCGTCAACAACAGGTCTAGGAATAGCACCGCCGGGAGAGTCCGGCAATCTCGCCGTAAGCACTTCAACACCATCCTCGGTCACGAGCAACGTGTGCTCGAATTGAGCCGACTGGCGCCCATCCGCAGTAACGCTTGTCCAGTTATCGGGCCAGGTCTTGTCTCGATACGTTCCCAAGTTAATCATAGGCTCAATTGTAAAACACATTCCGGCCTTTGCTTGTCCAACCGTCTTACTCTTCCCATAGTGCGGAATACTTGGAGCTGTGTGGAAAAGCTGGTTGATGCCATGCCCGCAATAACTCCGAACAACACTGCAGTTGTTGCTCTTTGCATGCTTCTCAATTACATTACCTGGGTCTCGGAATAGCATGCCCGGCTTCACCAGTTCAACAGACTTGTCTAGACATTCTCTTGCGGTTTCTACCACCCGGACTAAGTCGGGGTTCGTGCGAGCTTTTTCTCCGACGTAATAAGTCTCATTCAGGTCACCGTGGAAGCCCTCATGGTATAGGGTGACGTCAATATTTATGATATCCCCGTCTTCCAATGGGCGGTGGTCAGGGATACCATGGCAGATAACCTCGTTGACCGATGTGCAAACGGATTTGGGAAAATGTACGTAGTTTAGTGGCGAGGGGTAGGACTACTAGGTTGTCAGCTTAACACAAGGTGGGGGAATCGAAACATGTTTCTCCGGCTGACCTTTCGTTCCAAGCAAGCCTGGTGTACAACCTTATCAATGTGGTCGGTCGTAACACCAGGTTTGACTTCGCGCGCAGCAATATCTAATACTTCTCTCGCCAGGCGGCACACTTTCCTCATCGCCTCTTGCTCCTTCGGAGTGAGGATCGTAACGTTATGTCGACTAGCGAACTTCTGTTCTGAACGTGGAATGCCGTCGCTGGCATAATCAGGGTGTGGGATTGAGTCGGGGACAGTATTTTTGGGGGCAAGAGGGTAAACGGGCCTTAGGGAACCGGTATAAGGGTAGGTTGGAAACGGGTTGAAATGGCCGGTAGCTGGATCTGGTTCAGAAATTATTTTGGGAGGAAAAAGATTGCTTAGAAAATTACTCTTCTTGTGAATAGATTTATGTTCGCTCTATATGGACGGAAAATCCAACTGTCAGTTCGTCATCCTCCACAGGAGGAATTCCAGATCCTCAACCTACCCAACTCTTCTTAAAACAGTCCTGCGAACAGAAACGGCTCTCGATTCCAATCTTCAGGCATGTTGGACACCGTAGACTGCCGGCATTGTTACTGCAATCTACCCCTATGCACTTCTTCGAGTCTAGTTGCTCAGACACCATAGTGGCTGGCGGGGTCTCGCAGCTCGTGTGTGAGATAGGCAGCCCCGGTTGAGGCGTATTTCTAGGGTTTTTGGTGGGGTATATGGAGCAAAACCAAGACAGGTAGAGGTGCTAGTCTGGAATAAATATATATATTATTACAATGAAAGTATCGAGTAATTAGCAAGTAAAATAAGTGAGTCGTAGCAAGATCGTGCTCTCCGGAATCTTTTTTCCAGGAGGAACTTTAGCACCAACGGTCGAAAGTAACCGCGATAGCCGCCGAAGTCTAAAAATAACCGCGACTCAAGCTCACGTGTGAATGCTACCCGCAAATGGCTCGCCTTTCCGACCTCCTCTCAAAACCCCTGATATCAAGGATTTATTTAAGCTCCGGTTTCAGGGCGCGGAGGACATGGGTAAGCGGAGCGGGGATGACTAATTCCGCTGTTGATCGGATTAATTTGTCATATTCCCCCAGCGGCTGAGACTCGCGCCCTTCCTTTCTGACACCTCACATTTTCATCCAGCCGCGGGATCGAGTATGGCAGAAACAAAGGAAAAGGTAGTCATTGTTGGGGCAGGCCCCGTGGGGTCTCTGGCTGCGCTCTATGCTGCCGATCGAGGCGTCGATGTGGAGTTATACGAACTTCGTGGAGGTATGTGCTATTCTGTCATTTCTACCGCCTTGGTGGGGATAGTGCCCTCTTCCTTCCGCTAGCTCAAGCACGCAGAGATGTCACGTGCATCTGGAATCGGAATACTATGTTCAGTTTAATATGCTTCACTCCTATATGCTTTGTTTACCTTGCAAGCTTGGCTTCGCTGTTGGCGAAAAAAGGATTTAATACTAATTATATCTATCCATAGATCTCCGCAATGCTACGACGACCCCCCTGAACTTCACCAAGTCCATCAATCTAGCCATTTCAGAACGAGGTATCAATTCTATGGTACGGACCAATCGGCCAGGTTTTGTAGATGCTATTATGAACGAAACAATCCCCATGCGGGGTCGGATGATTCACAGGAAGGATAACTTGGGCAACCTGACACAAGAGCCCCAGGCATATGATGTTCATGGCAGGGTAAGGCACAAGCCATATAGTTGACGTCTTCAATGCGCATTGAAATATCGTCGCTTTACTGATAACATGCCCTAGCATATAAACTCTATGGACCGCGGCACGCTTAACGAACTTCTCCTCAACGAGCTCGAGAAATGCCCAAATGTAAAGCTCTTGTTCAATCACAAGCTAACCGGTGCGGATTTCAAAAATAAGAAAGCTTGGTTTGAGCGTAGGAACCCTGAGGACGTCAAAGATGTTACTACCAGCACCACGCACAACGGCAAGCCAATTGCCATCACTAGAGCGCCGGAGATCGAAGTCACCTTCGACTTCCTTATTGGTGCCGATGGCGCCCACTCCGCCACCAGATTCCATCTTATGAAATATGCTCACATGGACTATCAGCAAGAATACGCCGATGTACAGTGGTGTGAGTTCCAAATCAAGCCGACGGACACTAATGATTTCGCCATCTCGCCAAATCACCTTCACATCTGGCCTGGGAGAGAGTTCATGTTCATCGCGCTACCATCGCCGGATAAAACCTTCACATGCACCCTTTTTGCACCAGAAGCCCAGTTCGCCGCGCTGGAAAACGCTCCGGAAACCATCTTCGAATTCTTCGCCAAATATTTCCCCGGCGTATCACCGGAACTCATCCCACCAAGCTCCCTACAGGAGCAGTTCAATTCGAACCCGCACCTGCCGCTCATCAGCATAAAATGCTCACCGCACCACTTCGGCTCCAGCGTCGTGATCGTCGGCGATGCTGCGCACGCCATGCTGCCCTTCTACGGTCAGGGCCTAAACGCCGGGCTTGAAGACGTGCGCATCCTCTTCGAATTTCTAGATGACTACGGTGTGTACAAGCGCCCCCCGACCCCGTCTCAGGGAGCACAAGAAAAGGTCGATACCAACAATGCTCGCGCCGCGGCTCTAGCCGCATACACAAAACATCGCATCCCAGATGCGCACGCTATCAATGACCTGTCACACTGCAATTACATTGAAATGCGCTGGGGGGTGACATCGCCGCTTTACTTGCTGCGCAAGTCGGTCGAAGAGATGCTTGACCGGCACTTACCGTTTCTGGGCTGGTCAACACAGTACGCCCGTGTTAGTTTTAGTAATCAATCATACTCTGTGATCGAGAGGAAGGCAAAGCAACAGGGTTTGGTTTTGACCAGTGTGTTGACGGTTATATTGGCTTCCGTTGTAGGGGTTGGTGGGTTTTTCGGCTGGAAAGGGATGTGGTTGGCGCGATTGGGAAGGTTGGTGAAGGGCTTGGGAAAGCGAATTTCCTAAGGAAACTTTTTCCTCGTTTTAGCTAGGGCTAGGTGATATGCGCGTTGGCTCTAGCTAACATTGTCGATTTTGTTTGGACAACGTATCAGATTTCCGTTGTTTTGTTTTGGATATCCATTGAGCAGTGTGTAGAAGCATATATGAGCCTCTAGACAGAAATAACATGTATACCCAAGATATTTATGCCTATTGGTTTTGCTGCTGAACTGGGATTTTTGGATTAATTGTTAAATTCGATTTCCTTACATCCGAAGCAATGGATTTACTATGAGCAGTGCATTCAAATATATTTTGATATTGGATGGCTAACCTTGACTTGCAATGGAAAGGTGACAGAAAATAAATTGCGTAAGCCAAGTATTGATCCAAAAAAGAAATGAAAGAAAAGATGATAGAAGATATTTAGACATATCAATACAGTACGTATATACTATATGTAACATAGAGCAAAGAGCACATGTAAAACCTGAATATATCCAAAGCAAGATAAAACCAAAAAACACCTCAGATCTAAAAGCACGACAAGGAAGACTAAAATTAGGAGGAGGGTATGAAGTAGTGAACAAGTGCAGACAATTGATTTAGAAATCAAGGAGAATAATAGACCGCAGGGTTGGGTATGCGTGGGGGGATAAAATGAAAATAACGGACGTATACAGCAGATATAAAAAAAAAATGAAAAAAACAATTGGCAAAGCAGGCGGGCTTTCCTTCAACCCGAATTTTGCCTCTAGCGACGATATGTATATGATAGGGGTATATATTTTGCCCGGAAGTAAGGCGAACAACTCAACAAGGGAAACTTGTTTCGAACATTAGAAAATAAAGAATGAGAGGCATGTGGGAGTGGAAAAGGTTCAGCTCAGCGGAAATCAAGCCGGGAACAGAACTGGAAATGTAAATTCAACTGGTAAGGCCGTGCGGCAGAGTGGACGGAAATTCATACGCGCTAGCAAGGGGTATTGTGTATTGCCCTCGCTGCGGTTCCTAGGCGCGGAGGACGACTAGAAGAAAGCATATATCCGCCGGAAGGGGAGCAATTTCTTAGGTCGTGGTTGTGAACTTCAGTGCACTGGGGAAATCTAGGGAGAAGTTGTGGATTTCATGTAGACATACTGCGGTTCCGTTGAGCTGGCAAAATCCATGGAGACACCAGGGCAGTGTAAAATATGGCCAGCCGGTCTCAAACGTCAGAAAAACATAAAAAAGAGAAACAAAAAGCGCTTATGAAGCGATCACAAGGGCTGGCTGCCGTTCCTTGCCAGGTGATCAAAACCAGGATTTATCTCGGGGTCCGTGATGGCTTGATCGCACGGTACGGATGCTTGGATAGCTGGGGTTTATCTGAAACCGAGTTTTAGCACTGGTTTCTTCACTTTCTTTGCCTCAATGGTAGGCTCTTGCTGTATTTCAAGGCTTGGATAAGGCGCCTCCAAGGTAGCTTCGCCGTTCATAGATTAGATTTTCAGTTCGGGAATATAGCTGGTCTAAAAATTCCATTGCGGAGGCATCCATGAGAATTTTAGCAACCTGAGTTCCCGCGGATATCAGCTGGAGGATATTCCTATCATCTTTCACTGGTCGTGACTGGTGCTTAGCTGCATGGCGCATTTCCAAAGAGTTTTCCAAGACTGTCACGAACTGCTTAATTTGGTTATTATAAAGAACTCTTGCAGGAATCCGGCGCTTGGTGGCTAATCGCTTTAAGAGATAGACCCATTCTGTCCACTCCCGGTCCGCTGGTATTCTCACCTGTCTCTTGTCTGGCTCCAAAGGGATGGGGAATTGATATTTTGCAACAAAATTGAAAGCACACCGGGACAAACAATCATTGACTTCACATAGGATCCTATCCTGCTCTTGGACATCCAGGCTAGTGGGCAACTGAGGCAAATCTTTCTCCTGTTCCGCAATAGTTCCTGGAGAAAGCTTGTTTAAAAGCTGAGTAGGTCCATCAAACTCATCGCGGTTGGATGGCCGTCTCTGTTGGTGATGTTTGGCACTGCTTTTCGTGTTTTCTGGTATCCGTCTCTTGGTATGCTCAGGAAAGAGATCAAACGTCTCCATTGAAGTGGGTGAATCAGGGTCTCGCATCACAAAATCATGGGAAGAATACCCAGGTTGTGCATCCCTTTCGCCAAAACAAGGCGGGGGACGCGGCAGTGCGCCAATCGGTCCTAGGTTTGCTGGAGATGAAACATATGAATATCGATCGTAAGGCGAGGAATTGACTAGTATTCTACCAGTGTTGCTGTATAAAATATGATGTTCATTGAATCGTCCACGATCGGGCGATCGAGATGGCTCCAGCCTTTCTCGAGAATGCTCCCACGATAGAGGCGAAGTCCTATTTCCACTAAAACAAATGACAAGATCTCAGTGTCCATTTCGCGTGGTTAAGCAATGAAATCCGGATCTACCTAGAATGGTACAGCCCAGGAGCCTCTGCTGTTGGCCGATATGTCTGCGGTTCATATTCTCGATTTAGGACACTGGCGCTAGCATGATTTAAGTGAGTATAGTTGTAAATTTCTTCGGTCCTCTTTACTTAGTGATCAATTTTCACTGACCTTCGAGGAGGAGGAGGAAATGCAGCTATCTCACTGCTCACTGGGTAATAAGCTTCATCCCTAATTGCCGCTCTTCCTGGGTAGGGGAAATGTCCTTGAGAAGACATGATTATGTTTGACGGTCATGGATATCAAACTAGATATCAGAAAGCAAATCATAAAGTGATATCAAGGGGGACAATATGCTTCTTATATGATACCGGAAAAGTTTTATCACTAGACGTGCGTAAGGGGGGGTAATTGGCCTCAACCCGGCCCAAGCAGGGTGAAAGTGCTCCACAGTTAATTGGAATCGAATGATTATAATGACGTTGGCAAAGGCAACAAGACAGACACGACCTTGAATGGGATGAGGCCTCGGGGATAGTACTCGAAATATGCTATTTTATCCCATTTCCAAACCGTTGAAGGAAATCGAATGGGCTCCTAGGGCTGGCAAGTGGCAACATTAGTTCCATCTGGCTCTCCCAGTCGAATAACTTACGCAGAGCGAAAAGAAACAGGAGACCTGAAAGGCCAAAACAAGGTCACACCGCCAAATCAACGCAACGTACGCGATCATGTTCCTTCAAGTTCCAGACAACCGAGAGCGCATCGCCTATCAGACAACGAGGGCGGTTTCGCATTACCCAGGAAACTTTAAATGAATGATTGCGATTTGCCACTTTCACCTGTTCCTGGAAGAATCTCAAGAGCCAGGATTATTCTTTTGGGACACAGGGAAATGCGCCAAGCTGCCAGAGTAACAGGGCCAACAGGATTACAAGGAGCCAGAGCTGAGCCCTGGTTTGGGCAGCAATAATGATCAGCGTCCAACAAAAAAGGAACCTTCAAGCAAACCGTGATCGGTTTCCATAATTATTATTAGCTTCGCTATCAGCCAAATCGAAATAACCCGCGGGCGGGGTGACGGATCTCCACTCGGCGAACAAGGTTGGTGGTTACCCATTCCTGTCGCAGGAGAAATACATAAATTGACGAGATCCAATCTCTCAATCGCAAACAACATACGCCCCCCTGCGTGTAGGAATCACGGATTGACTACGGCTTTCTGGTCGTCAAGCCAGTACGAGCATCGGATCACCTGCAACCCCGCCTCTGTGCCAACATTGCGAATAGTTCACGGCCAAGAACTTCAGATTTCGCGAGCAATAAGAAGTTGCAGATAGCCAATTGTGTGCTCTTCTCAAGATCAGGCAGACAAGGCTGCTCGTGGGTTGTCGGGCAATTGGGCACTGATGCGCATGTCCATTCCGGCCCAATATTGATTGTGTCTGACTGTTACTTTTTGAAACAATCACCTAGTACCCAAGGATGTCCGAGGCCGCAAAATCCACCAGGTTAAATGCCATGACGTTATGTGTAGACAACGAAGAGAGGTTGTATCAGGGGTGCAAATACGTTCATTCAATTTCATGGGAATTTTTCAGTTCTTCTGTCGCTGGGAATATCCATTTATTTACAGTGTTCAGCCCCTCTGCCGACGCAATTCTGCCTAACATTGACATTATTGAATAATACAACGGACAAGAAAAAGAAGGTTTGAGGAAGGTAGGTATGTACATGTACATACATTACATGCACCTAGCCCTCCCGGTACAGAGGACTTGGGGGCATGATCCCGCTGCCATGCGGGAAAGAGAACCCAGAAACAGGCTAACAACGGTGAACAATTATTAATGAGCTACATAAATCAACCAGGAATAAGCAAATAAAACTCCTCCTCAGCAACAACAAGCGCCCTCGTTTCCCCTCTCAGCCAAATTCATCCGAAGGTCATCTTAGCGAACGAAAATGGAACCCATGGGCGAAACGACGTGGCTTCATAATTGTACAGGGCCTTTGCCAACATCACAGAATCATATTTCTTGAAAAGATCCGTCAATTCTCGAAATGTGGATTCTTGTTTGGCCAGGATATCAGCGACAGCTTCTGAGTTTATGTCTCCGTTCTGCTCCTCCAAAGGCCTAACTTAAACACTACAATGTTGGGGTGGTCCGGTTGGAACTGTTAACTGTTGCGCAATTCCTGCGCAATTCTTGCGCAATTCTTGCTCAAAACTTGGCTTCAAAAAATCGATGTACAGTACATGTACTTCTGAGCAAGATTTTCGCTGCTGCATCTCAACCTCTTCTTAATTAAATCGTCAGCTAACTCCCGGATGCTAGTGTATTGAAATGGCTCTCGAATTGCACTCTGCAATTGTTTCTGCTTTATCGCAGGGTTACGCTGGGCAAGATGTCCTAAGGTAATATTACAGAGAATGTTGTCTCACCCAGAGCAGTTTGAGTCAGAGGCACGGCGTCCCCATTTGCATATCCTGGATCTCGGAAGAAAGTGACCTCGTTCCTCCTGCACAGCTACTTGAACTAGTAAGCCGCTTGGGCAAGCTCTGCGATCTTGGTCTAATATCCCTACCAAAGGATCAGGGTGAAGAACCTCTCAGTTTGAGAATATTCCGGTGAAGTTACAATACCACGTTTGGGAGGGACAACACCAAATTTCATCAACGCAAAGTATTTAGACTTTCTAGCGAGAGAGTAGAGGTGAGGGTGAAGTTTATGGGACAAAGCCATTGTCCCTGTGAAATCAGGCTGTCCAAAAACAAATTGTCTTGCTTTTCCTGAAGACTTGGGAGGAGAAGAACCAATCGGCGTATTTGTGACAGAATGCCTCGAGTCAGTAATCAAGGATTTACTTTGCTTTGGATTCACTCCTGCCTTAAATGCGACCCGTGCCTTAAGACGCTTCTCCGGGGCACCCTTGGTCAGCAGACCAGAGGACAAATGTAATGGTTTCTCCCCGGCAGCTGATAGGCCCCGCTCAAGTACCATGGCCAAGAGGGATCTACTCCTATCAGCGGGAGAAATATTTGGAGTTGTGGCAACGCTTGTCTGCTCGAAAGATTTTTCTGCTTTCAGTTTCTTTGCTGCCGGTTGCGTCTGAGCAGGTGAAGGGCCATGTTTCAGTATGTGCTGAGAATCGTCCAGATAATCATCAATAGTTCTTCGAAGAACTCGTCTGCATCTATAATAACCCCTTCAAAGTTCGGGTGCAAGTGGTCTTTGTCTCTGTTCCATCTGGTGGAAGGGATTGTTTCTTTCCAGGAGAGAAAGTCGGAGGCAATCCCGGAGTAGTAACTTCAGGAAGAATTTCGGAGCTAGAAAGTGCCTTATTTGGAGCTCTCGTCAACTCCTCGAGGTGATGGCGAAGTCCCTGAATATTTGCAAGAACTGGGTTTCTCTTAATGTGATCTTGACCCAGCTGCACATTCCAAGTTTCTAATTGAAGATTCATAACTATTCTTCTACATATTGAAGTGGCTGTACATCTCATTCCATTGAACCTGCATCGCTTCCTTATCTTCCTCCAACACTTTAATGACACCTTTCAACCTGCGCTCCTCCCCCTTTAGATGTTTAATTTCTTTCACCAGAGCATTATCCTCCTCCATTGTCATCGGAACTTTCCATTCATACTCAAGAAATACATCTCTCATCCTATCAGGCATGTCAATTTGAGGCCGTCCGTTGCAATAGTAAGTCGGCTCATGAAGATTCACCTCTATGTGCTTAGCCTTTTCCGCCTTATACGGAGTAGAGGATTCTCCCCTAGGTTAGCCATCGTGAAAGAAATGGCAGGGCCAGAATCTGCCAAAATGCTCCACTGGGATCATTTTGTCGTACGTCTCTTCTGTTAAACGCTCGAGGACTTTGTACTGCTCCAAAATCAGAGTTCGGTTGGAAGGGGGAAATCTTTGAGCAGTTATCTCATGGGTATCCATGAAACCCTTCCAAAGAGGATGCTGATGAGGGCTCAGGAAAGGAGTCCCGTCCATTAACTCTGGACCTAGTCGCTCTCTCTCCCACTCGATTTCCCCGTTGGGTCCTTCCATTTGGCTTGCTCTGCTGTCTACCTCCATCTGTCTACTAATGGCAGTATCAGCTAGAGATCCTTGGCAAGTGCGAACGGATCCTTACCGTTCCCCTCAACAATCAGCTGGAGCGTTGGTGTAACAAGTCACCTCTTGCTTGACACTTCGCTTGACATCTCACGCTGCGTTCTTAGAGAATTTTTGGTGGTGACGGTTTGATCGGCTTCAAGAAGACTAAACATAAGCTGAATGTAATACACCTGCAAGATGAGCAAAGAAAGAATGAAGAATGTGCAGAGGGCCAGGTTGTAAACTAGTCGTAACACCCAGGCAGACACAACACAGAACTCATTCGTCGTTGAACTGGGAACTAACAGAAAAGCAGACCCGCCTTTAGATTCAATCACTTCAGTGTTATCACGTGGAATAACACAATCCAGTACGATCTAGGGCATACTCTTTTTCAAGATGTAAACGCTCTAAAGCGTCAGTAATATGTCAACAACAGTCCCCACATTGCGGTGTACCTGTAAACCAGCTTTGCCCCTGAATACACCTTCTCATTTCCCCCTAGAATCTATCTCTTCGCTCCATCCTCAAAGCCTACTTGGTATGTAGGCACAAGCTTGTGTGCTTGTTCTTCTTTCTCAATTTAAGCACGCTATGTATCGAAAACTCCTGGCACGCCTTATTGGAGATAGATATGTTGAGAGTCATCGACACGCCTGCGGCATTGTAACAATAGCATTGGGAGCAGCAAGGTGCCCATACCATCACATTCTTCATAACCAGTATTTTACCGTAGAAAACCAACAGGGACATCACCTGCTTATAGTATCGTCGAGCTAGAAAGTTACTCCGTAAGGTGTAGGAGAAACTGAGGAGGAAGTTTGATGGCTCAGGGCCCTGGTGCGAGAAAACTAGCCTGAGGTTCAGTGTCGGTTAACTTTGAAAGGCATCCTGCTATTGACTCCTCCTTCATTCACTTCCTTGGCTTATTCATCTCAAGTCGGTCCTTGTTATGTTCAATACTTAGTTGGAGTTAGATTCTAACTTTTGCCCCACTTCTACATTTTCATGCGCCAGCTTCCCGGTTTAGGTTAAGCTAGCCTAGCGTAAATTAGCTAAATTGGTTCGCTTAGACGCGCGCTTAGCCAAACAGAGCACGACGCGCCAAGCCCCTGGACATCTAATCCGTATCTGGTCATCTGCTCCAAATACCATCCGCAGATGAAAAATGCCCATCACACCTTTCAGAATCGCTCGGTTAAGTATCGTGAGAGCCATCTGCAGAGCTTCATTGAGCAATCTCTTTGAGACGTCGTTCGTTCCTCGCATATATATTTATGTTCTTTGTGTGCTAGGCTTTTGGGGAGATGCCTCAGTTCCGATTCTCGTAGAATGCATCCAACAGAGCGAGACCTCCAAGGTATGAGGAAAGAACAGAATCCCAAGTTATATCGAGAAGGATCTAATCCTTTGTGCTCTTCCACTCCTGCGTTGCTATTCTACAGACTTAAAACATGATCTGGAGGCGCTCAGTCGATTTACCTCAGGTCGATGGCTCTGGGGTGAACATCAACAACTTACATGCTGCTATGTCAAGTTTGACATGCCAAACCTTTTGGAACTTGCTGCGTCTACCATTGGATCAAAATCGTGTGTTCATGTTGTTAAGATTTCGGAGGGCCAGTATAACAAAGTGCTTCTGCTTACCATGAGTGATGGGCGCGAGGTGATTGCCAAACTGCCAAATCCCAATGCGGGCAGACCGCACTTCACTACAGCCAGTGAGGCTGCAACCATGGACTTTGTACAAGCTGCTCCCTTTTCTTTTCATTTGCCTTTCCGTCCCGTATAGGCAGTATCGGCACTAACTTCACTAGTTGGGTAATGTCCTCCATCTCCCAGTTCCGAGTGTCATGCATGGAGCTTGATAGCGTTAGAGAACTCTTTTGGAGCAGAGTATATCATTATGGAGAAACACCTCGGTGTGATGCTGAGTGACGTGTGGGGAAGCATGAAGAAGAAGCAGAAAACTCAGATTGTGCTGCAAGTTGCTGATATTGAAAAAACTCTTGCTTCAACTAAATTCACAAAGCTTGGAGCTTTGTACTACAAGAATGACCTCCCCGCTACGCTCGATACCACGATACCGTTGTATGTTGACAGGAACAGGAACAAGGTACACAGTGCAAATTTTGGCATTGGACCAACCACCAATCGTTTGTTTTGTGACTTTGGGAGAGGAGACCTGGACACCGATCGTGGACCTTGTAAGATTTCTCCCCAACCCTTTTGACAACTATTTTCATATGCTTAACAGTGCGGAGTACTTCCCAGGGTCTACACCTGCGGAGTTCATGATGGCCATTGCGTATTGAGAGATTGTCTGTGCAAGGGCAGGACTCATATACCCATTGATGCCAGAATGTCTTTCCTACGGACCCAGACAATACAAGCCGAGCACTTCGAAAAAACTCTCCGCATTGAACAACTATCTCAAAGTGGCGCCATATGTTCTACCAGAAAACAGAGCAACCCATGCATCAGTTTTATGGCACAGTGATTTGCTTTTGCAAATTATTTTTGTCAATTCTGAAGAGTCAACCCATATCCTGAGCATCATTGACTGGCAATCTGTCAGTGTCTGTCCACTTTGAATGCAAGTCACATGCTCCGGTTTCTGGATTACAATGGCCCGGCTCCTGGGGAACTGCAGCAAGTCTGTCTCCCTGCGAACTTTGACTCAATGACTCCACATGAACAGCAGAAAGCGAAGGCATTGCATTGCATCAAGCACAGACACTACACATTCTTTACCTGGCTCGATTCTGTCAAGTCAACACGAAGCCTTCCAGGCCATGCAGGGTCAGGGTTCACTCCGTCACCAAGTTATTGTTGCCCCAGGGTTGACATTAACAGAGTACGAACCATGCCTCAGGAGCTTGCTGAGGGATGTGGTAAAAGAGTGGCAAAAGATTGTCGGCGTGGGATCAGACGGCTTACCATTTGTGTGCCATGCCTATTGCAGTTCTCGGGCGCCGAAGTCCAGCAGCAGGGACAGGACGAAGAGCTGTGGGCTCGGGGGTGGAGCTCATGAACAACTTTATTAGTGACACCGGATGTTTCAAACACTGGGATGGCAGGGTCAGCGATGCGGATTATGAATTGTCAAAGAGACAACTGGCTGACGGGATAGCGCGGGTTTTTGAGCCGTGAGGCTAGGAATGAGGAGGAGCGCAAGGCGTGGCTCAAAGCCCTACCATTTGTGGATTACGAAGAGACTGAGTGAAAGGACTATTTCTGTATTTATATTGACCGAGGCTTTCCGACCCATCCTGTTTCTTGAGGGATACGTAAGTGATGGGCTTTCCTCCCATCGTCTAAAACAGCCCTGGACAAAATCAAATTTATGGATATATGAAGATTGATTTGCTAATTTAATATCGTTTTTTGATGGGTTGCAGGTCGCTTGGATGATGCGCACTTTCCCAGGAATAAAAACCACATTTGTAGCCTAGGGGAATATCAGCATGCGTATTGCCTGTGGAAAGGGAGGGAGGGAGAAACGCAAAAGGGATAATAATCATACAGTCAAGGGTCCACACTTGTATCTCAGCTTCGCGCAATAGTCCTGGGGAAGAAATTCTCTAGCAGTCATGAATAGCTTTTTTGCAGCCACTCAAACCTAAAGGAGTCCGGCTCAAAGGAGCCGTACAGATAGCGAACCAACTTCCCGCGCGTTATTGGACGGATGGTACTCTAGTGTTGCCATGATGAGATTTGGATGGCTAACCGATGGGTGAAGATGGCGCTATCAATGTTGATGCTAAGGTTTGGAGGATGAGGGGACTGAAAGAGAAGGGAGTTGGGAGGACCTTACAACGCGCTTGATGAGGGACATCCTCTGTCATATTACTTTAAGCACAATCGGCGTATGAATTTTATAAGAAGCAGTGATCAGTCTGCAAACATCTACATCTTTCTCGGAGTTCATGTTACTCCGATCGTCACACACAATTCACAGCAATGCATTCTCCCTCTCAATATACAACCAAGAAAGGAGAGAAAAGTAAGACGGGGTATAACAGTTTACATGAATTTTCAATAAAAAAACTTGAAGCCAATCCCCAAGAACTGCAGAAATAAAAATATTAAGACAGAGATAGAATCCGGGTGTTTATCCGCCGTCAACTCAACGAAAAACCTCTAAGCCATCCATCTCCTGCCAGCGATCATTCTCCCAGTCTACTTCTTTTGCACCGTCCGTGATCTACCCCCTCCCCCTTCTCCCCCTCTTCTTCTTCCTCTTCCTCCTTTTCTCCCTCCTCCCTCTTCCGCTTCCTCGATCTTAAAGCGTCCCCCCATCCGACCTCAGGGAATGATAACCATAAATAATGCCCCGCGGCCGACCTAAACATTCCCGTCGCAATGCGCTCTTTCATTCTGGCCAAACACCGTTTCTCCCTTGTAGTTAACATCACGCCCTCTAATCCCTCTTCCTCCTTTTCTGCTTCCTCCAATGCAACAGGGAACTTCCATGTAAATGATTCCTTCCGCGTTACGGTCGCCCGGAACACAACTCCAATGACCCGTGTCAAGTTTTGAAATAACGAATTGCACATATTACAAGCCCCGTGACTAGTGCCAATAAACCGGAGGGGGGTTATATAATATTGGTAATTTTGGTGGCTCGAGGTTTCAGTGACACCATTCCTGATACGCTGGAGGAGCAAGTGGAGGACAATAGAGCATTCTGGATGGGCTCGTTGTCGGATTTCGGGGTCGTTGTTATCACCGCATTCTCTGGTAAAATAGTGAAGCCTCATGGACCTGCTCCTTGGGACCTTCAGCGCTTGGAGCATCTTTCGAACGATTATGGTCCAGCCAGCGGATGAACTTGGTATGTTCAAGGGCCGCTCAAGGGTTCGGACGTCGTTCACCCGTAGTGTTTTTCCCCCGAAAAACATGCCACGATCAGGGACGTATCTCGCACTGTCGACTAAGGACTGGATGGCGTCGGATATAGAAACGATATCCATGATATACGAATATATATCGAAACCTATTCCTTCTGCAGTTAGAATTTCCAGTTGGTAGAATGGACATGACATAGAGGCTAGCTCACATCATTAGGAGACCGAGAATACAAATGATATATCACGTCAAGGTAGTTGACGAACACGGTAAACGTACCTAAAATTTCGTGGAGATATTTTAATTCACATCGCATGTCATAATCTCCAGCAAGTAATTTAAAGGTATTCCGCATTACCTTCATAGCACAGAGAAACAGCGACAACACCCGATTCCTCTTGAGAATCTCTTTCCCATGGACTATGACATTGACGATTATCCACCGTAGGAGGGCCCTTATGGTGAGCAAGGAATCTCTCGACTTGTATTCCTTGGTACTGACAACTTCCTGAGTAGCACTGTAGAACTCCTGGAAAAGATTATGGCCTGTATCCAGTGGCTCGAGAATTTTCTGAGTAAAATTGTCATAAGTAAACATATAGACAGCGTGATAGACATTTCTGATTCGTTTCTGTAATGTATTAAGCTTATTTTGTTCCCGCATTCTTATGAGATAGCCCAAAAATACGCCATCCCTCTGCCGAATCCGCAGGTCATGTTTGTGCTGTGCAACAGCCACTCCTTGGAGTTTGTGGAATAAACCTTGCAAATAATCTAGTGTCTCTTTTGGTATCGATTTGTCTGACGCAATGGATAAAATGATTTCATTACGCGGTTTGTCAATTTGCATAGCGCACGCCGTTGTCTCCCCTGTCGCTCGAGATAAAAGTATTTTTGCTATGGCATCTAATGGAGGAGTAGTGCGAGGGGAGTGGAGTATATCAGTTTTCGTGTCCGCAATACGAGATCGCTCATATACCAGGCCATTTAGGGCCTCAATATCTTCGGGTGAGACTTGAATAGGGCGGTCATCTTCAAGTTCCATTTTATAAAAAGAGTAAAGATGGTCGAATGCCGATCTATCAAATTAAGGGGAAATGCTTCATTTATCTCCGCTGCGTCCTGAAAGAACGATTTGGGGACGCGACAAAAAGTCGAGAACAGACACAACCGGCTGCAATGTATTAAAAACAAGCTCTCAAGGTGAGCGATCAACAAGCTATGTTATCAGACGTATTGGAGCTGCTTTCTTCGAGTGAAACTAGCTGTAAATAGCGTTGTGCTCTCTATCATTCCGTTCATCTCGTTGGTCGCCCAAGTAGAAGAATATAATGACAGCAACTAATAGTTCCACGATGAGAATCGAACGGATCTTTCACTTATCGCTATAGCAGGTCTTTGTCGTATTACTCCAGCTCTTGATTAACAAGACCATCAATATCGACTCGCCGATAATATGAAACGTGCTTCAATTCTTCCCAGAACAGAGCCATGCAGTCGTGTGAAATAAGAAAAAGCTGAGCAGGGATGAACTTATCTGTTTCAAAAAAAAGTAAACCAAATTAATACGAAGCCACAGGTATAAAGGGATCTAAGAGGGAAACTGCGACTCATTGGACAGGACCAGGGGAAATAAGAAAGGGTGGATGGCAGCAAAATTCTTCAGAATGGGAAGGAAAGGGGACGGAGGGATCTCACCATCTCTGAAATTTGTCGACGCAATATGGCCCTGACCTCGCACCACCCGAGCTCCTTTGAAGAGATTTTCATCAGCGATCCGGATTAATCCTCCTGGTCCGATATCCTCTGCCAAAAAGGATATTTGCCCGCGAGGTACGTTCGGATCACCGGTCAACTTTATGGCTTCTAATCTCCCTCGTGGAACAGGCAGTGACGAACCTGCCGAAGAGGAATATGTGGAGCTTGCCGAATCATTCTCAGTATCTGGTTGTTCGTCGTCATGACATTGTGCGAATGGGCCATCCCGCTGCAACACGAGTAAGAATTCGGATCCGTGGCCAGAGTAATCCCCCACCCAAATACCTTGGTACGGCTTTTCTCGAGTCGGAGTATAGAGCTCAGGCTGCAAAGTTGCATATGTAGATACACCATGTCTGGTATTGTTTACATCAAAAACAGCCCCGAAATTTCCAAGTTGTGCCCAGCGCCTAACCTGGAAAGCTGACATGCAAAGATTCTCATATCTCTCAGGAACATTTCCTCTCGGTGTGAACGACAAATTTTGCTGTTCTGAGAGGTCCACGCGCTCATCAGACGGGATAAGCCGCGGCGGCCACACAATCTTTTCAGGGTCGTCCTCATCCTCACGGGGCATTTTGGCACACAAAATGAAATTGTTAAAAACACGCTGGGCTTCAACAGCCATGGGCATTCGAAGTTCTCCAAAGCGCCAGTTCATGGATGGTGAGGATGGTGTGGGCAGATAATTGACCAGTTGCACGACCGGGTCATCCGTCCACAAAGAGACTTGCGGCTTGAACGAGTGTATAAGGACCTCGGTATCATAGGTCCACGTTTGGAATTGTCGAAAGGTATGTTTGGCAACGACCCGGTAGCCTTCGATCATACCTTTGCGCGAGTTGTATCTCGTCACGATAAGCTTTCCTGTGTCGATCACGTCGGAGAACCAGATCTTGTTGCGCGCCACGAACCACAATGGGAATTGGGATATGTATAGCTCTCTCCAGGTATTGAATGGAGCAGGTTCACTAAGGGTATTCGGCAAATTCGAGTTGACGAGGTTCTTCCAGAGGAGATCGTTCTGTGTGTGTTTGGACAGGGGGCGGCAAGTGGAGGATAATGCCGCCAGACTAGGGGGTGGAAGAAAGGATAGGATCATGTAAAGAATCTCTGGAGGCATGAGGACTAAGGGAGAGGTGCCCTTCTGGGCTGTGCTCGTGTTGCTGCTGGTCATTGCTGCACTTATATGGGCTTTGAAGCAGTGTCAGATATCGAGGGGAAATCTTGGGAAGGCTCTGACTGCTCAACACCGGGCCATCTTGTCATCGTAGAAAACGTTATAGCTACCAGCTATAAGAGAAGTAGCTGGTCTATCATCTGGTGTTGTAGGAATTACTGAGGTAGCAGTGGTATGTATTGAACTTGACAAGATGGCAAGTGTGTTGTCGCCTCGACTTGGATGGTGGGTGTTGCTGCTGATGACATCACCGAACATCGGCACAACAGTCGCTGAGGGACGAAACCGAACTAAGGCAAGCAATAATTTTTGCTGCTGCGGAATCTTATTTCCCTATCTCTGGTAATACTCGTTTGAGTCTAGGGGTCTATACATATGGTTAGCCTAACCTAGGAAAGTCATGATAATAAATGACCTTATTCATTGTTCCCACCAAAAGTCTGGCAATAGCAAAGGTCAATTTCGTCAGTGTACGATATAACCATGTCTATACTATCCATCTAATGCGTATATAAATAAGAGACCCCTCCGTGATATTCATAAACCATAACCTCCAACGTTCCAGCATAGATAAAGAAAGCATACACCTCGCTAAGAGCTCACCAAAATCAAAATGGAACAAATAACTGTATATACAAAACTACCCATCATAAAAGTACCCCTCAGAGCTTCGACGCTTTCCCTCCCTGCGCCTGCCACTCCTCCACCCGCTTCAATCCCCTCTCCTTCTCCCTCAACTCCTTCTCCGCCTCCCTTTCCGCCTCCGCCGCATCTTCCCCACATCTCTCCAAAAGCTCATATGTCTCCCTAAACATCTCCCTTCTCAACTGACCAAAAACTCCGGAAACAGGCAACGTTGTCAGCTTCCTCTTCTCAATTAACGCCAGCGCCTCGTCGAGACCACCAAGGCCATCGACAATGCTATGTTCAAGCGCCTCCTTGCCGCTAAACCGGCATCCCTCTTGTACTATAGTTCGAAATATGGCTGGGTTTGCAATTTTCTCCCGGAAGATGGAGCACATGGTGGGCTTGAGGGCGGCGCCAAAGTGGACTTCGTTTAGACAGAGGAAGCCACGGGAGGGGTTGAAAATGCGGTAATCATGGTACATTGCTGTCATGAAACCGCCGGCGAAGGCGTGGCCGTTTATCAATGCAACGGTAGGGAGGGGATAACTGTATTTTCGAGCCGGGGAGGGTGGGAAGGTGGAGTTAGCCGGGTGTTTCTTTCTTGAAGGAAAGACGTACAAAATAAACCAAAATAAATGGGCATGGGAATGGGAATGGGGAGGGAGGCTGTAACAATATCAAACTTACGTCAACAGACGCTTGAAAAGAGCAAAGAGGTTGTTTTCGAAGAAACCCTTGGTCGCGAAGGCCTTTTGGAGATCCAGGCCATTGCTATAGAATTTCTGAATAGCAGAGGTGGTTACTACGACTCCGGGAGGGTATTTGAACTGGATGATATCCAGGGAGAGGAGCATGGCCTGGCAGAAGTCCTCCGTCACGCGGTTATCCGGCGCAAAATTGAAGGTCAGTAAATACACGGCATCCTGCGGCTGGGTGCATGTGATGACACCCTCCGATTTCTGGATGGTGAAGAGGGGAGCTGCCATGGTGAACGGGAAGGAGAAATAGAAGGGCGGCGGCCTGGAATGAATCGGCGTTATTCGAGGTTAGATTATTGTAGAGGTGAATGTCTCGAGAAGATGTTGCGCTTAATTTATAAATCAGTAAAATATCTACGGGCTCTGCGCGCAAGGTTTTCACATGCTAGTTCAGCGAAGAAGAGAAATGAATGCAGCTGGCAGCGAAAGAGCTGAAACGTCTTTATATAGAAACCTTGGGTTAGCGGAGCGAGCAGGCTTTGGAAACTTAGGTCGCTTGTTTAGGTATACGAATTCCCTTTCAATGCCTTGATTTGATGTCTTATTTGACAAATCGCAGTTCCATCAGGATCGTACTCGCAATGATTAGTTGCGCCCTTCCACAGAGATACGAGCTGCGCAAGAGCCTCGGCTCAAATCGAGTCACATGACCTTGTATGCACTCGGCAGGGTTAGTACTGTACATTTTATTGTTGGCCCCGGTTCTATTGGGTATACCCAGGGCCATCAGGACAGATATGATATATCGCGATGAATAGTCACCCCGTAGTTAGAGGTTGTGCTGCTGCGTCCCTCGTAGCACTCTCGGATCCCTTAGTCGTCCCTTGGAAGCCAACATTGGGACGAGGGACTGGGTACGTCTGTGATAAGATTTTTCAGTCAGTGGAGAGTAATCGCGCGAGTTGCTGGCTTGCTCTCCTACTACTTGGTCATGCCAGGATCATCTACTCCATCCGGCTACCTTTCTGCACTTCAGACCGCGAAGCGAATCCCATCGGCAGGGACGTACTATTTCTTGCAATGCCCAGCTATGTTGATCGCCCCAAAGAACTCATTGCATGTCGCTGGCGACCATCAGTGATATCAGGATTTCATTTGCAGTAACCACTCCCGGGCCCAAACACTGCTAGAAACTATGATCGGGTTGTTGTGAGCCAGCCCTCCTTTCGCTGGAACCCAAAGGTCTGTGAGGGGGAGAACCCGCGGGATGCTAGCATAGGGGCGTTGGACAGTGGACACTGGCATGCAGCTTGACATCCGATGCTGCGTACACTTTTCCTTCCCGTCTTCCGGAATCCGAGGTTTTTAATCAGGAGAACATCAATTATTTCCAGGGGAAACGACTCTGAGTTTGTGAAATTGAGCGGTCCACTATATAATACGTATCATGTGTGGTCATTTCATAACTGGATCAATTATATCGTATGTTCCGAAATCGCAATTACCGTTAAGTTGAAGTGAAGAGGATCTAGTATCCCCTCCTTGACTCTTGGGAATAAAGATGATACACGGTTTTCGAAAAAAAAAAAAAAAAAAAGCACTCGTTCTTTGCTGTTGTGAATAAATACGCGGACCTAGCGCTTGGTTTTCCAGTTCGGGTATGTTGTTTATTTACCTTTAGCCTAATCGGGCAATTCTCAACCTCCCGAGGTCAAGAGCTATAACAAAAGAGATACGAAATGCCAGTTTCTTTCTGTTAAAATATGTTTACAAAGAGGAATAAGAATAAGTTTGAGTGCTGCGCATTGACAGCGATTTTCATTCTGCAATAAAGCGTTCCCCCCACTCCAAGCACGACGCTAAGAATCGCGTCCAGCATTGACCGCCCAACAACAACCAGACGAAGTGTCTAAATTGTTGGCGCCCAAAGGCCCCTTTCAACCAGCCAGTATTATTATTTAGCAAAGGTTAACGCGTCTAGTTTGGGGATTCTTTCACTACTGTTCCCCCCCAGTCCTAAATAGCGGCGTTGTTTTGATTTTGCCAATTGGACGATCTGCTGTCCGCGCGGAAATATATATGTCTCCTGCACCCCAGGTTTTAACGGGTCTTTTGCCTAAATCATAATTCGCTCAGCTTCCTTTGTCCAGTCTGGGCGAGAAAATTCATGGGGAAAAAGAGAGTGCATGCATAGTTGTTAGGGAGCTTTTGTTGTGTGAACTACCTGACATTCTACAGGGCAATTATTACGCGTCACTGTGGTTGAAAGCAAAGGGTGGTGACGGGAGTAAGACTATATATCAATTTCCACTCTTTTGCTGTGGAAATATGAACTAAGAGGCTGGTGCAGGGAGATTGAGATTCGCATTCCTCTATGATTTTGTTTCTTGGTACATGACCCTAAAGCCTTTTGTCCATGTTCCCGTTTATGAACCCCCCCAATTTACTTGCTTTGTTCTCCTAACCAATATCAGATTTACTAATTTCTACAATACCAGACCCAATAAAAAACCATTAAGTGTCACGGAACAGTCGCAGGTGTCAGTTCCAGTCACGGAAGGGTACCATGGCCGCTAAAAATAATTGCCCGGCCAGCAGGCGAAATCACAGTCCATATTCTCCAGCACCGGCGGAGAGCAATAGCAGGCAGACAGGAAATGCTGCAGGAAGCATTATCTCATCACGACCAGTTCTCATGGAACCGCGAACACCGTCGAGAAAAGCGAAGGTTGCGAAAAGAGTGCGCTTTTCAGACCCAGGTCCTCCCGTTGAATCGTTATCCAGTTACATAGATAACAGCCTGTCAACTGGTTTAACCCCAGCGATCAAACGGACGAGGATTGAATCTCAGGACTCCCCATCCTCCAGAGAACGTAATGCCAAAAATCTGCGTCGCCGTCGCTCAGAACCCACTCCGCGGGCAGACAATAATGGATTAAAGTATGAATTGCCGGAGCTGCCATCTGAGACACAAACGTTCCAGTTTTTGCCGTTTAGTGCAATACTTGATCCCAGAGCTAGACGGCGCATTGCGCGGTTTGGGCTTAGTGAAGAGATGAATTACATTATGCAGAGGAAAAAGGAGGAAGAGAAAGCGGAAAAGGCCAGAGAAGAGGAGCTGATGAACCTGCGCCGAGAATTAAGCGCCCTAAGAGAAGTGAAAACCGAAGCTCAGGACGACAGCGTACCCCGTACCCCGGAAAGAGTTAGAGAGTTGTCTAGGGCACGACAGAGAATTGAGGAATTGGAGGCGCTCTTGAGGAGGTATGAGGACTCAGCGCGCGCGGATAGTCCATGGATGTCTCAAACTGCAAACGAGGATGAGGAGATGATATTTATCGGTGATGACCTGACAACGATGGACAATGAGATGCTCACCACTTCATCAAGTCCCATTCCTCCTTCCCGCTTTACTCCGAGCCACTTACGCACATCCGACGCGTCGACACAGGTTGCTCTTCAAGACAAAGAGCAGGAGGCAGAGAACAACTCTCTAAATGCGCAACTCCACAATATGAGACAGGAAAAGCGCGCCCTTTTCAGGGAATGGCGCGCGCTTGTTGGCTCCAATGAAGCGGGTGCAAGGGACCGACCCCCACTTGACAGCGCTCTAGACAGTCCAGCTTCCCCACCACCAAACTTTTTGCCTCAAATCGCCACTACTTTACGCAAAGCCCTATCTCAAGAATCTCGAGCTATTAAAGCACTGGAAAATGTAGCGAAAGACCTCTCTGGGCACGGTTTTTATGGTACCAGCGCATCTGAAATACTCGCAAATATGGGTGCCCGATTTCGTCAAGCCAGAATTGCACTCGAACGAGCTGTGCCTGGCGAGACTGCGAATGGAGATCTAACCAATTGGAAGCAAATTATTGACATGCTTGTCCAGAGAATAAACATCTTGGTCCAGGATCTTGCGTCGACCAAGGAACAAGTTTCTGGTTGTGAAAATCGAGAAGCAGCGCTGCGAAATCAGTTTAATATGACATTACATCGCTTGGAACAGGCAAGTAAGAAGAACAAGACACTCGAGGAAGCCAGTGATTCTATGGCAGAAGACCTGATGCACGTTCGGATGAAGATGCAGAAGTTAGAGCAAGACATGAGTGTCTTAGAAACCGACAAGGCCCGCCTCAACAACGCAATTGAAAGATATAGAGCTGATCTCAAGATCCTGGAAGAGCTGAATATGAAGCTCGAAGATGATACTATCTCCTCCATGCAAAAAGTCACCGAGCTTGGACAAGCGAACTCGGCCTTGATGGAGGAAAACGAGCGGTTCAAGCAAAAGATCACTGAGCTCGAACAAAGCGAGGTCGACCAAGGAGCCATCCGTGAAGAGATGCAGAGGTTACTCGAACAGCGCACAGCAGAGCTAACGTCTCTCGAATCGAAGATCGAACAACTAAAATCCGAACACGACCAAGCCATCACTTCCCAGTCAAGCAGCCATGAGAAACAAATGGGCGCAATAAACGTCCGTGTTTCGTTGCTCACCAATGCATTGAATGAGGCCCAATCGGAACTACACACCCTACGTGCGGATAAGACACGCTTGCAGATACGACTAAACTCTCTACAACAGCTATTTTCTCGGGAGACCATTCATGCCGCGAAGGAAAGGGCCAGCGCCACCGTCCAGGAACTCATGGAATGGGAACGAGGAATGTCCGCTTTATACGCTAGCGGTATTGGTAGCCCGCAGAGTCAGAATGGTGGACAGAAAGATAGTCCTGACGGCAATGGCTATCGTAGCATCACGAATGATAATAGGGATGGGTTCGCGGCTATTGGGAGCGAACCGATTACACCTTCTTGCGATAGGTATGTGAATGTGGAGATCCACCGAGGGAAGAAAAGGAGGAGAAGACGCCCGGATTCTGCGATTCATATTGTAGAAGAAGAGGCGGATGGGGAAGGTGAGGATGGTTTTGAAGATTCCGGTATTGCGGACAGGTCATAGTTAAGGGAACATGGTTACACGCTGCACTGTCAGTTCACGTTCCTTTGTTATTTTATTTGATATCTCATTTGTCTTCTTTTGGGTGTTGGCAGCCATTTCCCCTCTTTCATTATTCCATAATCTACTTTGGTCATCTTGTCATACTATATATGCTGGAATATTTGTATTGGGATTCCTTACAATTCTGTGCTTCTTTCTGTTACTTCTGGATATGTACGCAATGTCAGGATATAGATATCGTACAATATAGTAGCCTTCTTTAATTCGCCAGCGTTCCAGCTGATTATCTCGGGGGTCCATCGTGTCCTTGAATGGCAATAGCAGTAGCAGAGTACAACTTGCGTCAGCGTTCATATAGATGTTCGCCTACTCCATTAACTAGAGGCTATGCAGCCTCAGAAGCTAAACCGTCTGCACATCCAAACAGGACAGCGGATCGCTCTACGAGGCACCCTTCGCACCTTGAGACAAAAACAAGATTTAACACCCGGATCTGTCGTGATCGGTCCAGCCAAACATCTGTTGCTCCCGTGGATGGTTTCAACGTTCAAACCTTGAAATAATGGCAATTTAGGTCTCAAGCGAGAATGCCATTCTAGATGCGAATAGGAGCAATGCCCATAGAAGCTGGGATATTTTCACCATGATGTTGCGCATTGTTGCTAAAATTTGATGATCGCCAGTAAACGCAGAAGATAAATGGCTCCCGTCCTGTCTACAATGATGAAATTTGCAGGGTTTATGTGGTCTACACTGTTCAGAAAAATGGGATGCATCATATCCCGTTGCAAGTTGTACCGATCCTCAAAATCAAGCCACCTAGTAATTATCCGATGGGTGAACTAAATATAAGGTGAGTTCACATCCTCTTACCAGTTTGTCGGCTTCTCTTCAGAAGCCATATCAATCCAATCAGTAACCCTTCGAGGAGATAGTGACTAGAAGAATCAGACGGAATCAATAAGCCATGAAGCTTACACCCGTGGCTGGGCATCATCAACGCGACCGTTCAAGGCTTCGATATCTCCAACTGGCAAACATCCGTCCACTTTGCGGGAGCATATGAGTCAGGAGCTCGCTTTGCTATCATCAAGGCATGTCCACAAACCCCCTAATATTCTCGTGCTCACACGCCAAACCAAGAAAGTAAAATAACATCCCTCTCCAGGCCACCGAAGGTACCCGCTACAAAGACCCGTCCTTCAGCAGCCACTGCACAGGCGCCACAAAGGCTAGCTTTATCCGCGGCGGCTACCACTTCGCGCACCCGGGCCTCTACAAACGGCGCGGAACAGGCCAACTATTTCCTCGCCCACGGGGGCGGCTGGAGTGATGACGGCATCACGTTGCCGGGCATGCTCGATATCGAAACAAACCCGAACGGTAACCAGTGCTACGGGCTCAGCGCATCGTCTGGGTCCAGGATTTTGTCGGCACGTGCAAGTGCAAGACGGGCCGGTATCCGATGATCTATACGTCGCCGAGCTGGTTGCAGTCTTGCACGGGAGACAGCAGGCGGTTTGCGAGTATGTACATGTCTACTAATGATGGCGCGGTGGGCGGAGAGTCCTAGCACGGCGCCTAGTGGTTAGGCGCATACGATCTGGCAGTATACAGATAAATATGAGTTTTGGGGGATGGGGATTTGTTCAATGGGGATGAAGAGGGCCTGCTGAAGTTGACCACTGGTTGAATCTTTTTGGCTGGTCCTTTGGTTTTGTTTGGGTTGTTGAAACTTGTAAAGCCAATGACTGTGAACGCGTGTAGTAGTGTTTATGCGTCTGTTCGCTGCTGGTTCTGGCGAATAAATAATGGGCTGATGATAATGGAATAACTGTATATATTACAATGATTGTCGAAAACAGCGCCCCTCATGAATAATATTCCACTGTTGCTGCAACTTATAAGGGCTGGGGAGTAATATATATGTATATTATATATATTCTCCTAGCCTTATGTAGTTTTCCGGTCTCCGCGTATAAGTGCATTTTACATAGTTTGTATATGCGGATAGCATTCTGGGGGAAGGGTTTAACCCCTAGTTATCCATAGGAGGTGAGGTTGCTCTGACATGATCGCGCCTTCAACAAGTGCAACTGTCGCGCGAACGCGACGACCAACATCCATCTACTTGCATTCCCCCAACAACAAACCGTTAGGAGCATTGCATCTATACTCTTGGAGCCGGATAGAAAACTCCTTATCTGGCACGTTTCACTGGGATAAGCGGGTTCCTGCAGCATCTATCAAGGCCGCTCCGCCATGGCGTCATATCCCTTCTCTGCCAGAGATTCTGATATCATCAGCTCATTTACCAGGAAGGCCGACAATGAGAGAACTCATCCTTTCTCAAACCCAATTAAAGCTATATATAGTGTGGTGCAAGTGAAGTGAATAACCGAATAGTTCGTTCGTTATATTTTACACCTCAGGTTTCCCTACATTCTCCAGCCATGTGAGATTTTCGCCACCGATGACCCCAGAAAGAGTCACATAGGTGCCTATATATATACAACTACATATAAAGAGAGAAACATCGCCCTGATAATGCCTGTCAAAGAACATAACTACACCCTCTCCGTCACAGCTGGCCCCAGCTACAACCCCTCAACCCACAAGCCAGTCGCCGTCAACTCCCCCATACCCCACCTCATAGAAACAGAGCACGCAACCATCGACCTCCGCGTACGCATACAAGACTACACTGGTCCGTAGAAACTATCCATTCGACAATCTCCCGCCCTTAAATTAATCACTAAATAAAATCTTTCACGCGCCCTACCTAACTTCTATCCCTCCGCAGGCCTCCCGCCCAACTCCCCGCGCACCTCTCCATACTTCTCCCACCCAACCCGCACAAAAGACCAATACTCCATCGCCGTCTCCTTCGTCCCCAAGCACGCGATTCCCGGCTCGGAACTCGTCTTCGGCAACGATTTCGACCGTCCTATCCGCGACCGGTTGCCGCCGGGCACGAACCAGGCGCTGAGGATCGTTCAGTGGACTATTGACCCCGGTTTGGAGGGGGATGCGTATGCGGATAAGCCATATTTGTATGGGGCGGCGTTGTCGAGTTGGAACTATTTGAGGGTTTGCGGGGTTGCTAAGGAGAGGAAGGGTGGGGATGCGGTGGTGGGTGGAGAGGGGGAAGGAAAGGGAATTGGAAATAGCGAGGAGGAGATCATTGAAGAAGGTGGGGAGGGTAGTGGGCAGGAAATGAGGAGAAAATTAGGTGTTCCTGACGACCCTGCGGGGAGGAGAAAGTTCTTTCTAACTGAGGGGAATCGGGAGCGGTTTGAGTTTGAGGAGGGGAGGCTGTATAAAGCGGATTTTGGGAATGGGTATTTGGGGTTTAATGGTGAGTTTTCTTCTTCGCCTACCGCCTCTTCTTCTTGTTTATTGGACTGATGAGAGCATTGATGATGGTACATATAATAGATTTCTCCCTCCGTCTTCCCGGGTTTAAAATTAAGGTGACTAAATACATCGATGCGAAGAACCATCAGCTGCGCTATGTGCTGAAGAATAAGCGCACGGGGGATGTATATTTTGTAGTGTTGTTCACGTTACTTTTGGGTCGGGGGAGCGTGGAGGATGATTGGGATGATGAAAACGCCAATGATGCCGACGATGTGGATGAGGACAACGGTGAGAATACGGAAGGTAGCGATGATAGAAGGTATTATGACGACGACGAGGGTGTCGATTGATTTTTGCTGTGAATATTTTGAAATGATGTTTTTTCGACGCGTGAGGTGGTCGCCATTGTTAGCAGGCCGCCCCTTTAGATCGTTTGCTTACTCTAATAGTTTTTAACATACATTGCGTCGGAAATTGGGATTGGAATTTTGGGAGTACATACCGGCTCAAGCGGTTCGATATCTCTAGGATGATAAGGCGATTTTAATATATGGATGGTGTTGTGCCGGTGGCTGGAGAAGACAAGCATCGATTAATCTTGAAATCTATCTATTTTGAATAACAATAAGTACCCATTGGCCCATCGTTTGTGCGCCTTTTTGCTTCTAACTCCCTTCCACCCTTCTACGGCCCAAGGGGTTTACACACCCACATAAATTTACCTGGCTCTCACAACCTCCTCAGCACATCCGCAACGACCTCGTCCGTCTTCGCCTTGCCCCCCAAATCGGGCGACAAAAACTTCCCCTCATCCAAATTCGCATCAACCGCCTTGTAAATGATAGCAGCAGCCTTCTCCTCGCCCAAAAACTCCAACATAAGCGCCACGCTCCTCAGCGTTGCGATCGGGTTCGCAATGCCTTTGCCCTCAATGTCCGGGGCAGAACCATGGCACGGCTCGCCGATGGCAAAGTTGTCACTGACGTTGGCGCTGGGTACGAGGCCCAGTGAACCGACTAGCGCCGCGGCACCGTCAGAGAGGATGTCGCCGTAGAGATTTGGCGCGACGATGACGTCGTAGTAGGATGGTTGGCGGAAGAGTTTGTATACCATTGAATCGACGATTTGTTCCTCAACAGCGACGGTGTCGATGAAGAGAGGTTGGGCGAGTGCGCGGCGTGCCGTCTCGCGGAAGAGGCCGTCGGTTTGGCTGAGAACGTTGGACTTGTGGGTGATGGTGACCATGGGTTTGGACCTGGTGTTCACGTTGTCGCTGGCGGCGGCGGTGTCGCGAATCTTTTGTCTGCGCAGGGCGATGTTGCCGGCCATGGTGGCGATGCGGAAGGAGGCATGCTCTGAGATCCGCTTGATGGCCTCGGCGACCTTTCCGTTGGGGGAGTCATAGGTTTTCTCGTCTTTGACGTAGAGGTCCTCGGTATTTTCGCGGACTATGACGAGGTCGATGGGGTTGGAGCCGGAGGAGCCCGTGGTGGTGCGGACAGGGCGCACGTTTGCGTATAGATCTAGTTTCTTGCGGAGGGCGACGATGGGGGAGGAATAGCCCGCGACTTTTGTGCTAGGGGAGCTGGAGGTTTTCATGAGCATACAGTTCTCACAAGTCGGAGGTATTCATAGATAAGCTAGATAACTACCTGACAGCCCCGAACAGCGCACCGTCACATTCCTTCTTGAGGATCTCGACGGTTTTATCAGGGAGGGCGGTCCCCGTCTTCTTGAAGGTATTATAGCCCGCCTCGAGGTCGACAAAGGAGAAGTTTAAACCCAGAGACGCAGGTAAGGATTCAAGGAGTTTGCGACCAGCCTGTTATTATAACTTCGCTCAGTATTTTAAATCTTCAATAGATGTTTTTTTTCTTTCTCTCTCTTTTGGAGTTCATATCGAGTCATCGTAGCAAGGATATTGGATCAGCATACCGGGATGACTTCCCTCCCAATCCCGTCACCGGGGATGAGGCCTATATAAATTTGTTAGTAGCAGTAAACATCAACGGAGGGGTGTATAGAAGGCAATTGACCTATTCTCAGTGTTCTGGCAGCCATCGTGGTAGAGCTATTGCTGGTGGAAAAGTAAATCTTTCCTCTCTATCTCAAACTCAAACCGAAATCTTGGAAAAACATTCGCAGCTTCCGGTCTCGGAGCCAAGACCGCTTATGTAATGTGACCTCGGCCAAATTTAAGGTTTGGTTTGTGAACATCCCTGTGTTTTATGCTTTTCCTGATTGGGCGATATAGTTTGGGGAATTTTGATGATACATTTGCGAATCTGGGCCCTCGGGAAACCAGATATTCTCTTTTGTGCAGTTAACTAATCTATGTCTATGCTTGTACGGAGTAGTTCATGGTGAAATACAATGCCTATGAGAAATTATGCGGTGTTAGTAATACAGGCCCAGATATAACCTCCACCAGGCGCCCTTCATCAGCGCTGCTTGAAACACCCAACAGGTTTCAGGCAGAAGACCTCGGAAACGGTTGCATTTGAGCTAGGATTAGATCCCGCTCAACTCAAAACCCTCTGGGAGTGTCTACCAATTCTTCCTTTGGGTCAGGCAGAGAATCATCCAAAATTAAAATGACGTTGGGATAGCTCTGTGTCTTTTGTCCTGTCTCTAAAAGAGGACAGCTGTTGATTGGCCGCTCTATATGCAGCATTCCGGGGCGTTGAAGGTAGATAAATATATGCAGATAGGCAGACAGGCAGATGGTCCCTCGATTCCCGAAGAGTATATTCCTGGGACGACAAAATAGCTGATTGCTACTGAACACCGCGTTCGTTAATTATTTATATCTGGCCGTGGATGGGTGTACAGATTGTACAAGTCACTGCATTAGTTATTGTCCTTGCAGCCACGTTCCCCCATGTGACCCAGCAGAAAACCCCTTATTTCCTTGTTGTGAGTAATAATAACTAAGATACGAGGCACACAGAAGAAAAAAGAAAACAAATGGAAAAAGAACAACCATCTGGCGATCACCAACGTAAATATTCTTGGATTCTTATATTACCTTCAACCCTCGTCCCATTGCATTCATGAGTATAGTACTAGCCTTTAGTAATTAATTAATTATTATCATCCATCTTGTCTTAGCTTCTTCCTCTCTCCCTGGATCCCGCCGGCGCTATGTTATTTAGCTAGCCGTCAATCACGTTACCTGCTCCCTCCTAGGTTACTTACGCGTTGTTGCTCCTTTCCCTTTTCTGCCTCATCCTCATCTTCACCGTCAACGTCGCCGGTTTCACAATTCCTTCCCCAGCCAACAACCTTCCTCGTCCTAGCAATACCCCCTCGTATCCCTTGTTTTATTTTCTCAATCTATTCTCGTCTCAACCTCTTCTCTACGGACAATCACATCTCGACCTCCATCCACACCACCTCTCTGCATGCGTCCTCTCCCCTAACCTCCATCCCCGCCAGCAATCACATCCCCCGTCCCCCGCGCTACTGACTGACTGGTTGACTGGTTGACTGGTTGACTGGCTGGTTGACTGAGTGATTGATTAATTGATCCCTCCTGATCATCCATCATGTCGGACAGTCGGGCCCAGACTGGTGTCCGGAGCCTGCTGGCCCGATTTGAGAACAATAACAATAACCACTCATCAACTTCTCCCCCTTCGAGAGGCCGCTCACCAATCGATCATGACCGCCCCGGCTCCGTCCGCCCTCTCTCTAAGGTTCGAGCAAGCTTCGTGGCCGTCGAACGTGCTGGTCAACCTGGAAGTCCTCCTATGTGGGGGTTGAGAAAGGCAACGGATCTGGACAACAATAATACCAATAACAACAATAGCAGCACCAATAATTCCCCTGGGAAGCTGACCAGAACCATGTCTAGTGGCGTTGATGATGTGGGTAGCCCCATAGAGAGGTCCGTTACTATGTCTTCAGGTGATAGTGCGGATAAGGCTGCTATGATGGGCAGGTCGTTGGCTTCCTCGCCGCCAGATAATAATATGAATAACAATGCCAACAACAACAGCAATGGCGGACTTCTGAGTAGTGGGAATGTCAATAGACCTTGGGCTGCAACATTACCGTCTCGACTTGTGGATTCCCCTACACCCGGCAAACAATCTACCTCGCGAGACGTTTTGACGTCCACTACTACGACAGAAGCGAAGGAATTAGGCAAACCCGAATCAAAGGGTGATTTTTTGCAAAAAGATTCTCCCCGGGCAAAGGAAGGAACACCAATTACCACTGCTCGTATGAACGGAAAATCGTCAGATAAAACTGCGCCCAAGAACTCCAAGGCATCTACAAATTCGTCACGTCCCGCGAAACTTGTTGTCGGGAATGCAGCCAACAACACTATGTCTAAGAATTCTTCAATAAAGAATATGAAATCGCCTCTCCCTCGAACCCCCAGGACACCAACAACTACCATATCTAATCCCGGTCCCAAAACCACACCCAAGGAGACAGACAGATCTAGAGCACCTGCGACAAGACAGCCCACTCGGACTGCGGCAGACAAACCTGTAGGAAAACCCAAGTCATCAGTACCCTCCCGGGACAAGATGAAAAAGTCATCTTCCGAAAATCTTCCCGGAAATAACAGATCCCGCACAAGGTCTCCAACAAAGCCAATCCGCCTCCCAAATTCAATGATAGCACCAACCGCGTCTTCTGCAGCGAAAACAAATCTGGATGGCCGCCCAGCAAGCCAAGCGGGCACACGCACATCAACCCTCACCCGCAGACCCTCGAGTTTGAGAAGTGATCGAAATACCACTTCGTCAAGATCAACTGGTCCAGCAGCATCTGCCACACAAAAAAGGCCCGCCAGAGCATCCTCCCTTGCTCCCCAGCAGAATACGGCCTATGACAGACCCCGGTCACGCGTCAGCAATGTTGGAGCTACCCGGCCCCCTGATGACTCGTTTTTAGCAAGAATGATGCGTCCCACTGCAAGCTCCGCAAGCAAGATGCATGAGAAGGTTGAAATCAAAAGCCCACCTCGGGGTTCTGGTCCACCAAAAGTTCGGAGGAAGAGTGGGGAAAGTGCAAGCAGTAATGTTAGCGCGACTGCGAGAACTCCGCCGTCCTCGAAGAAGAACAGTGTTGCCAACTCTGCGCGCACAGTGTCGTCAAATGGGCATGTAGAACCCCGCAAGGAGCAGGAGCCGGATGGTGCTCAGGCTCAGGCTCAGGCTCGGAGTGAGATCACGGCTGCCTCTGCTGCTGAGGTCGAGATTGCTATTCAGGAACCCCAACCTGGGCCAACTTTGGAACCGGAACGGGAACCTGAACCTGAACGGGAACCTGAACCCGAACCCGAACCTGAGTCAGAGCCAGAGCCAACAGTTGATGAACCAGAACCGGCTGCAACCGAGCCCATCCCTGAGCCCGAACCCCAGCCCGAACCCACCGTTTCCGAACCATCTATAGCCCCCGAGCCTGTTGTCTCTGAAGCCTCACCCGTACCGGAATCTGAGCCCCGACCTGTTGTTTCTGAACCAACTGGCCCCGAACCTGCTGCAGCTGAACCCGCTGATGATTCCTTGCTAGAGATTGCAGAAGTATCCGTTGTCGAAGAGGATCCCGCCAAAGTTCCGTTGCCCGAACCTACTGAGAAAGTCGAGCTATGATATAGCTACTCCTATGGGAAGAGTGGAGGTGTGTGCTCATTTTAACTTGCATATCCGCCCTTCGACCCCTTCTGGTATTGGTCACGACATCAACAAGAGCAACAAGAACAGCATCATACATCTTACTAAGCGCTATTTTGACTTCATTTCAATTTTGGATTTCGTTTTGGCTACATTTCGATCAATATCAATCATCATCTCCAATATATCTACGTAGTTTTGACTTTTTTTTTTTTTTTTTTTTTTTTTTTTTTTTTTTTTTTTTTTTTTTTTTGTTGGCCCCGAATTCCGCTCAAAGGATATAAATACCCCTATAAATTGTTTGTTTTATCTTATAGCATGGATGGACATAGCATGCATGCTTGCATTGCTTTACTATCCTTGACTTTGACTAGGCCTTTGCTTGCCTAAACGAAGTACACAATGAGGGGTGATATATTTTTTACTCTTTTTTTCAATCAATACACATTCTTCATATTATGTATCTTTTATTTTGAACGCCTTCTACCTTACTCTATTCTACGTCTTTCACAGTCAGTCAAACTAGCTTTGCTTGTGTGAGTTCATGTGTGTGTGAAAGAAGAGAGGCTATGTGTGGTTTCCTTTTCCACATGTTTCTTCTATCTTTCAAATTTCATTCTCATTCTTCAACCTCTCTGTCTTCCCTCTTCCTCCGGTTTTACTTTTATTTTTCCTTTTTGGTTTATTTTTTTTTCCCCTCTCACTTTTTACATTTCTATTATCTTCTATCTGTTATAGTCATCCTCTTTTGAAATTTTGAAAATTTTCAATGTTGCCCTTATTCTCTTCTCTGCGTTCGCAGCTTCCTTTATTCATTACATTTTCCCTTCTATTTCTCAAATATTTTTCTTTTGGTTTATAACCTCCTTTTAATATGTTTGAGTCTGATTCGGATTCTAATTTGATTTGATTTGACTTGAAACACTTCATATTAGCTCAAATGATTATATTCTTCAATAAAATATTACTTTGCGTCAATACACCTGGTTCACGACGCACCAGACACAAGGGCCTCAAGCCAGTCACTTGTGATAATCTCATACCATCGCCGGCTACTGCATCTATCAGGTTTCATTCCTCATAAACTCAAGGCATTCGTCTATGTGCATTTAATCGTTTGAAATTCCAGCTAGCTACTTATCCCTTGTGACAGATTTCAATCTTGACTGAACTTCCATCTCAAACCTCTCTCTGCCATAAGGTTCATCGCGCTGTGTTGCCTTCATATCTGACCAGAGGGAAAGTCAGACTCAAAGATAGGCTCTCCTGCACCATGCATATTGGCAAGCACAGATTGTCGGAAGTGCCATCGCAGCAGCTCATCCGAGACATGACCATCAGTGTTTGAGTCGCGGCAAAATAGGATCCAATATTCTTCCGTCAATCCCACAGCTACCAGGCCCAAATTCAACAATCTTGTAACCATCCTTTGCTCTGTTAGTATGGCATAATAATAATTTTCAATTCTAAACACTTACATCTGGGTGTATAGAGAATAGATACTGGTCAAAGCGAGTGTGCAGATGTCCTGCCATGAGTGATCAATTCTGTATGGAATTAATTTTAGACGCTCCCACAGCATGATTCATGTTGGTTATCCATCATTCTTAGTTGAGCTGGATCCAGAGACTCTCCTTCTCTAACGGGAACACATGCGCAGCCTCAAACCCAGTCATCCCACTGTGCCCCAAGATTCACCTGTGCGGATACAACACATTTCCCATCTCTGGCACGAGCCCCATCTCGGAATCCATCTCCCGAAGAGACAGAGTGGCTACAGAGTCGAGCAACCCAGGGCTCATCAGTAACTCGAATGGATCCTAGAGGGTATTAATTAGCCCGGGCTTCGACGGCCGTGGCGTTGAGAATTTTTCAGATGTGCTGACAACGCTGTTACATGTATGGAATGATGTACTGTAACTAGTACACCTGTGGAGAAAACATCATAATCTCCCAACACAACGGGGTTGCTTGACTAGCGTGACGGTTCGGCCTGTGGCTCTGTGCTGAATCGTCCACGAGTCCCCCTCATCTACAAGTAAGAGAACATCGTTCAGGATCCAGATGAGGTTTTCTTCCGTGATGGAGCTATTCTGGTAAAAACTTCCGATACTTGCGCCTGTTTAGGCGTCGTGGAAGCGGATATTTCGGTACGCGGCGCGATCTCTTCGCATGTTGCTATACGCTATGCCCTTTGACACAGGATTTGTAGGGGGGGGGGAGCATGCCACTAAGAAGGGAGCTGAGAAGGTTGAGCGTTGTAAAGTGATGTTGATGTCAGGTTTTGGTTCTGGAAGTGTCGTTCTTCCAGAAACCGCACTCGGTTGTACACACTACTCCGTACAGGAAGAGCGATGGCCAGAATCATTTGGCCCATCTGTCTCTGTTGAGAGAGGGAAGAAAGGACCTAATAAACAGATAGTATATTACGTACACAAAAGAAAAAGAGGGAGAAAAAAAAAACGACGATGAGAAGAGTGGGACTCGAACCCACGCAGGTTGCCCTACTACGAATCTCGGCAATGCCAAGACCTGAACGTAGCGCCATAACCACTCGGCCATCTTCCCGATACTTGGTTGACGGAGGCACAGCCCGAGGAAATCTTATAAGGCTCAGGTGGCGAGATATCAATGTTTGGAATTAACATGTTGCGCTCAATGTGCGCAGAGTGAACTAGGAATTATTCGTTGCATATTTCGTAAATCTAAAGCATGATACATTGTTTAGACCACAACAAGCTTAGAATAAATTTACCCATATGCAGTTACTTGTAATTCATATATACCGGAAAAGTCTAGACCAGCCTTTAATGCATAAATCCAGCTCATGATCATATCACGCATGGTCTACCGGCGATTTCAGACCCGTTAGTTACATGGAGTATAACCTTCCATCAGAAACAAGGAAAAAAAAGGAAGCGGTAGTATCCTGCTGCAAGAATTTCCGGCCATGACAGGGTCATCAGACCCTGTGCAAAATCGCAACAGCTTCAAAGTTGCACACAGTTACCCTATGTATGCCATTCCGCTCTACTCAGGGTTATACTTCAACGCAAATAGACCTCGCTCAATACTATTAAGCACAATAGTCCCGCTCTTGAAATATGGATACACACTCCACGAGCCGACAAACTCAACCTTACCGCCAACACTATCATCCTCGGGATGGCAGTCAAAGAACCCAACCTCCTTAAAGCCCTTGCCTGTCGCGTCCTGGGTAACACTGGAGACATCCACAATGCGCAGGCCAGAACCATAGTTGGACTGATATGCGAGACCGTCGATGACGTACTGGTTATGGTCGATTGACTTGACGGGTGACTGGTAGAAGCCTGTGAACCTCGGTTTGGCGAGGTTGGAAATGTTGACGATGTAAGTGGTGGTGTGGCCTGACTTTCCTGGGTTTGTGCCGTCGGATTCATCAAGCTCGTCGTCCAGGAGTAGGTATTCCATGTCCTCGTCGGCGATCCAGCCTTGGTGGGTGTACGAGGCGCCTTCGTAGGGGGTTGAGGAGATTTGCACGGGGTTGGATTTGTCGGTTACGTCGACGATGGTGAGGGTGTCCTCGTTGTAGTTGAAGCAGATCTGGCGGTCAGTGTATCTCTCGTCTGGGCCATCGTAAATGACACATTGGGCTGGGGTGGTGTGTTAGATGAACGAATTATTTGGTAAACTAGGGAAGAAGAAAAAAATCGAGCGTCGATAGAAATACGTACCGTCATGGACGTATCCATCTTGACTGGCACAGCCAGGAGATGTAGGCCTAGCAGGGTTGGAAACATCAACCATGTACAATCCACCTCTGCATGGGGTGGTTCGTCCCGTGCCGACGGCATAGATCATTTTGGCGTCCTCATGCGCGACGATGTTGTGAGAGCTACCAAAACCTCTGAACCAGGCTGTGAGATCCCTCCTGATGTCGTAGGTTACTGGTCTACCTTTCACCTTAGCCAGCTATATATTTCACCACATGTAAGTATATCTTCAAGCCCTTGGTACACAGATTGGAGAGTTGCTGTTCTTCGTTCCTACCTTCCGCATATCAAAGACTTGCAAGCCATGGCCCGGGGCTTCTGAGCCGATGTAGACGTATCCATCAATGACTTTCATGTCGCGCCATGTGCTTGACTGGGTCTGCGTCGGCAATCGGCCAAGGTATTTAAGCTTACCACCCTTCAGAACCTCGACAAATGCAGTGCCGTCAGTCTGTCCGACCGCAACGAACTCACGACCGTCATCGGCATTCCAACCTGCGCAGTTTGAGGTCAGCAGGCAGCCCCAGGAAATGACTTAAAAAAAAAAAAAAAGGACCAGAATGTAACCTACCCCAAACATCGTTGCCTCGCCGCGTGCGACTTCCCATGTCCTGATGGCTCAGGAAGGATGTCATGTCCACATTCTTGCAGCTGAACTCGCCGGCCTTGCCGTTAACGCAACGCTCCTCTCTCTTGATAGACTTGAATCGACCTTCATCAAAGAATCCTTCCTTGCGTAGCTTCTCCTGAGCAGCGAGCTTCATGTCCATGAGGCGCTGCATCTGCAGCATGTTTTTCTCGGCCTGTAGACTGCCGGCCACTGCCAGGCCGGCCGCCACAAGGGGGGCGAGAAGGGAGAGCTTCATCTTGAGATAGTCAAACCAAGGGCACACTTCGAGAATGGGAATTTGTAAGTCAAAGATTGCTCGAACGGATGAAGGTCACTATCGACGGAGGAGTATATCCAACACATCTTGCCAGGCGCGGTGTCCCCTTTATAACTCCCCAGTGAGAACAACATAACAATCATGGTGACCCATGCGCAGCCTTAGCAGCTCCTCAATACTCCTCCCCTATCCCGGACATCCAGAGCTAGGAGGATCGCTTACCATGTGTCGCATGGGTACTCACGGGGAATACTGTACTGTGTATGTCTTCCAAGTGATAAACAGGGATCTCTAGAGCTTGTGTCTAGCAAACTAGGGTGTGATGATCAGAGGCCAGCTGATTCACAGCGGGCGAATTAGACAGTCAAAAACTCAGCAGCCAAGCCGAAGAACGGATTCCTGCCCTGGATTTGGAATCGTGGAAAGAAACATCTTCTCGAAAAGAGGGATTTGATATGCGGAGAAGTCTTGCCCACGGTAGGGTGCCGTGCAATTTCGGGCCCTGGCGGATGGAGGCATATGAAATAGTACAAACTTTCATGTTCCTCCCGACTCCAGCTCTGCCGCGGTGATGCTCGGCTGACGGCTGGTAGAGGACTGTCTGCTGTGTCAGTGGATTTTGGTCCCTGTCTATGAAACATCGATCATCGCCAATTTCGGACTAATCTGGGGGTAAGTCCTGATTGTCACAATTTTGTCAGTCTATGAAATGGAGTCCGTCTTGAACGGCCCTGGCCATATATCCCGTTAAACTTTCCTAGCTTGTTCACCCCAAGGCGATCCTTGGACCATTTGTCCGTTGAGATGGTTAAACGTATCAGGCTTTTTTTCTGGAGATTTTTTTATTTCCTTTTGGCGGAAGAATCATCATTAGTTAGGGCAAGCTCGCACCGCACGCCCGTGATATCACGGCCAACGTGTAAGCATTAAAGCATTTGGATCCATTTGTCTTCGAAAGAGAAAAACTGCATAAAATCCCAACCATGTTGTGGGTAAAAGCAAGGTTTAGCACAGAACGCGGGGAAAATAGCAGAGTAGTATTTGCTCAGGGGGATTTGCGAGCCATCCGCTTCACGATATAGTGAGCCCGGAGGGTGTCGCTATACGCAGCGTAGAATGAGACTAAAAGAAAACGCGGCAGGCATTAACTAGTTATCGCGCGCCAAGGCGGCCCGAAGTTGCGCCTCCAAAAGAGCCGCCAAGTCCAGGCTTCAAAACAGGATGTTTTATTAATATTATTGTGTATCCTTGACGGCGGTGATAATGATTGATGCTAAGGGTTGTGAGATCTGCAGGTTAGGCTCTCGCGAAAGCCAAAAATGTTCCCCAGATTATTAGCGGCGCCAGGCCCAACGTCCGTCCTTGGGTATTGTCGCTTCTATCACTCTGGAGAAACCTTGTCTGGGAGAACACCTTGGCGATTTAACCGATGGAAACCGTGTCGGAGGAGCTGAGTTTATGCAGACGAGGCGGCCGGTGTGAGTTGACAATTTTGTTGCGACAGGGTCTCCACCATTTCAAAACGCACTTCGAAGGGGGTGTGAAGGAACTAGGTATTCTTCAGGCAGTTAATTTTTATCTTCCCCGCACGCTATCCTGCAAGTTATGAAGGCAATATTGCCCAAAGACATACCTAGGTTCGCTGCTTGAAACCTGACAGGTAGTATCCTGGCTTCGCTCAGTGGCTCATTTTAAGGCTGTCGATATGGATCAAGGATTGTGTATCTTTTTCTTTAGCAATGCAACGACAGTCTACCAAGTTCCCCAAAATAAATAGAATGCCGAGCTTGGGAACGAAAGAAACCTGGCGAATCGACGGTGGGTAGGGATGAAAAGTAAAATGAACAGGATTTGCACTATGCGGAGACGAGAGAAAAAGATTCCGAATAGCAACAATGAACGTGCCGTATACAGAGTACGCGGAATCGAAATGGTGCAAGATTGATTACCTTCGAGTGATGGGCAAATGTTAGATACAAAAATGACAAAGGTCATCTAACTACCCCAGAATTTCTATCGCGATGGCGGGTATCCCCACAATGGACCGCACTCGATGTGACACCGCGAGTGTTTTTGCTTGCTTGCATCTATACATCCTGCTTTCCCTTCCCTTAGCGACGGTACTCTTTACCATCCAGATTGAACCGCCCATGTGGCCTTGTGCGGAAGCTGTCAAATCCATCCCCAGCGGTGCATAACTGTCAGCATCGCTGACCATCCGACGGAAAACCACGGATGAGGTCGGGGACACAGAATTCCAAGCATAGGAAACCTATAGACTGTCGTCCATCCTTGAAGCGGTCAGGGCCATCCATGGCAAATTCAGGCTCGTTGGATCGCAGGGGGCTTCGCATGCTAGGTCGGGAAGCCTGTTATTGCTGGATGCCTTAGGATGTCCCTACGCAGAATGATATAGTACTAATATCCGAGAGGGGAGCTGCATCACCCTGGCTAGCAGTGAAGTATATGGATTGGGAGAGCGTCCCGTGGGTATTTTATCTATCCAGCATCAAAGTGACGCCCTTTTTGACGTAATTTGGCAGGTCAATGAGTCTTGAAACTGTGACACACACATCTTCTAGTTCGAGCGGGATTCCCGAGAAGATTTGTCTTTGACTGAACGGCCCATCCATGCCTTAATGAAGGCAGGGCCTTATTCAATCAATCAATTCAGATTATCCTAGGTTTGACCAAACTGAATATATATATATATATATATATATATTATTTTTTTTTTATTTTTTTTGGTTCTCCTGGGACGCTCGGTGAGCAGCGAGTGAAAAATGTTGTTGATATTCAATTGGAAATACTAAATATTGAAAAACAGATATCCAAAAAGGGCAAAAGTGGAAGCAAAGCAACGAAAAACACTGAAGTCATGCGGGTTTAACGCATATATTCTCATTCTAATTCGTGAGCTCATGCCGAAAACAAACATATGGGAACAAATATACCAAAATATAAGTAAATAATAACAAAACGCTTCATACAAATTACCAATTATCCGTCAGGCAAAAGGTGGTTCATCAGCAGTGGCGATATAGGGGTAGTAGTGTATATCAGAGTTGAGCGCCAAAAGAGGAAAGATTCAATTCATAGTAAGCAGCTAAGTCAGCACGCTGTGAAACGTTTGCGGGGTTAAATTGGGAAGCGGAAGGTAATCCAGAGCAAACTGCTACGTCCTCCCAGGTCCTTTCTATTTAGAGAAGTGGAGGGCGCTCTAGAGTTTGTCAAGTTTCTTCAGAAACTTGCCAACACCTTTCCCAATCCCCGATGTCGACTGTCGCTGATTCTGTTTGACATATTTTGCATTGCCTTCAGCTTCCGTTGGCCGATAGACCTGGTGATGAATGTCATAGGAATTCCCTCCAGGTGGCGGTTGCTGTGGCTGGCCGTAAGAATAGTTCGCGTATCCACCAATTGGTGGCTGGGCAGACTGCGGGACATAGCCACCCTGGTAATGTTGATGTGTTGGGTTGTGAGGTGATACAGGTGGCGGACCAAAACTCTGCTGTCTGAATAAGTGCGCATTTGGGTCCTGCGGCGGTGGCGTATATGGCACTGCGCCTGGAGCTGCTGGTGGTACCTGTGCAGCGGTAGGAGGAGGAGCAAACGACATGTTGCCAGGATGGTTGTGGTTGTGTCCTGAAGAACGGGAGGAGATAGAGGACGTGTGGGCTAAACCGGCTGTTGGAGGCGGCGATGCATATTGTCCACCATATCCCGGGGCCTGGGTGGGTGGGGGAGGGGGAAATCCGGGAGACATTGGAGGAGGAGCGAATGCCTGACCATGCTCTGATACGGCGGCAGCGGCAAGCCCAGTTCCAGCTGCTCCATCAGACGGTGGAGGCGTTTTCTCGCGCGGCTTAATGGGCTCTGGCGCGGCTGGCGCAGAAGGATTGTACGCAAGAGGAGTATAGTTGATCTGTGCTTCCTCTTGCTTGGAGGCGGGCGGAGCTTCTAAGGGACTAACTGGTTCTGATGGCGTTGGCTGAGTAGGTGGAGGCGCAAATTGTTGAGGAGCCAGCTGTGGCTGAGGCTGTTGTATTGGGGCAGGCTCAGTCTGAGAGTTTCTCGTCAGACCATTGTGGTAAGCTGGGTCGGTTATCGCTACATTTTCTAGCTTCTGGACTACGGAGCTGATCGCAACCTCGTGCGCCTGGGGTTGTTGAGGGGCTGGCATAACATCGAGCTGCGCAGGAGCCAATAATTTACGAGCATTTTCAAAAAATAGAACGGCATCATTCGACGTCCAGAAATAGAGATCTAGGGTATGGAGTCGAAGAAATGACCTGCCTCCATCGCGAGGGTCAACGTTGAGCAGGAGCCACTCGTTTTGGCCAATGCTCGTAGGTGTTGGTGGCCCGGATGTATTCTGTCGATGAGCATGTACAGTCAAGGTGCAGAGAGTAGGGAATTTATCCGAATTGCGCAGATGAACAGTTCCCAGAGCTAAGATACCCCCGCGCTCGTCAGCATAGGGGGATTCGACTATGGACACTTAAATCTTGACATACATCCACAGAAAGCATCCTGCTCGGGCAATCCTGGGTGATTCGCGATCTCGATTCTCGCCTTGTTCTGGACGGCATCATGATAAATGTACAGGTAGGAACCTTTATCGAAGCGGTGGTGCAAGGGCCGCGGTGTAGGAGCCGAGAAGTAGTAGTGGACGTCAACAAAGCTGGTATCTTGTCAGTCACATATGTTCTCTATGGGATGTAGGCACTATCTTACACCGTGAGCAAGCACACTTCGCTTGGGAGAGGAGGCATCTTGTGCGACAAGCTCGTATGAGATTACGAGACAGCGGACAGAACAAGCGAAAAAGGAGGGTGGGGAGAGACGAAACAATAGAACAAGATGCGAGGCAGACAATGAGGGCTACTGGTTTATATTGAGGGCATGCCAGATGGGCGAAGAACAGTTAACCGCCGCCATGGTGACTCTCCTCATGCAAAGGCTGCTGGCTGCTGCGGGTGCTGGTGCTGCAGCTGAGCCCCGCGCTTAGGCAGGACTGAAGCTGACCACTCACGGCGAGGAGCAGGGAGGAAGTCGCGAATTGCCTAATCCAGACATTGCGTGCCAAGCAAACCAACGCCGCCAGCGAAACCAATCACGTGACTCAGACATCGCAGATTTATTTGGCGGAAGTTTGTATGTAAACTCACTGCATTGACGGAGCTGGCAGACTGATATTCAACGAGGAGGTTAGGAAGATCACCACCCGCTCGACCAAATTTATGCATGTTTCTACCAGTGAGTATCTCATTGAAGCCAATTGCATCTTCTACCCCTGCCTCTGCCTATCACTATCCATGGGTATAACTTACCAACCTCCCCTCAGCCAAACTTGCAACAAAATAGAAAAAGAGGCTATCCTCCAAGCTCCCAGCCCAACCAAAGAAAGGACTACGCAAACCAAATTCGAGGCGATAGCCTCCTCTCCTCTCCTCCCTCCGCCATACGCCTATAAGCAAACGAATAAGAAGGAAAAGAAAACTTGAAACATCGTCCATCACAATGTCCCTCGTCAACCTCGCCAACGTCTGCTCCTCCATCACAAACGCCTCCAAGGCCCGCCTGGCCATAACCTCCATCTCAAACACAAAGCTCCACCTCCGCCTCGCCCTCGCCCTCCGCGATGCCGGCTTCATCTCCACCGTCGTGCTAGCCGGCCTCAACCCACCCCCGCAACACGTCCTCCTGAAGATCCCCGCCGCCAACGACGAAATCGAGCCCATCGAGCCCGTGACGAGGGAAAACGTCGCCTCGCGCCGCCTCTGGCTGGGGCTGAAATACTGGCAGAGCGAACCGGTCATTACCAAGATGTCGATGGTGAGCAAGCCCACGCGCCGGCTGACGCTGGATGTGCCCATGTTGAGAGATATTGTGCGCGGCCATAAGCGGAAGACAGTAGAGGGGTTGAGGTCGCCGGGGGAGTGTTTGTTTTTGTCGACTAATCAGGGGATTTTGGAGGCGAGGGAGTGTGTGGAGAAGATGACTGGAGGCATGGTGTTATGTAGAGTTGTTTGAGCGGAGGTTTTTGTGGTGGTCTTTTTTTATTTTCCCCGCCCTCCTCTGTTTCCTTTCTTTTTTGGTTTTTGGCCGCATTTGGAATGGAGTTTGCACGTTTATCTGGTCTTTTACAGCAAGGCAGTACACGGCATTGGACTCGAGTTTTTGGAGGACCAGTGTCTGCGACATTTCTGTGTGTGTATGTATATTGTATATTATCGATGGATAAAATCCCCCCCGTCTCTCTATTTTGATTTTGATAGATGGTCAAGACCATTCTGTATAAAACTGGGGCTTTTAGACTCTACCATGTCTTCGATTTTTTTCTACTTTCGCAATGCAATGTCGACGAAATGGCGTGCAATGAGCAATGATGTGCCTAAGGTAATTTTTTTTTCCCGCGACGATGCAGCCAATCTGTCCTCTCCACTGCCAAAAAAAAAAAAAAAAAAAAAAAAGATCTCAACTTCATTGCGAACCTCAAAAATATATTCCAAGAAGAAAAGAGAGAGAAAAAAAAGAAATCGAAAAAACACCAGGGTCTTGCCGCGACTCGAACGCGGGGCCTCTCGCATATACATATAGTATGTCAGTGATGACTCAGGGTGAACCCTAAGCGAGAATCATACCACTAGACCACAAGACCTGAGTTGTCATGACTACGACTGCGGTTAAAATTCCTAAGTACGATTGGGCCATATTTTTGGCGGTTTGGATGGAGCGGTTTGGACTTCGGTTCCCTGGTTTTTTTTTTTTCTTTGAGTTGATGGGATCGGGAGATACATGTGTTCAAGGACTTCTCTTTTTGTTGTAGTGTCCTGGGCGAGGTATATATTGTTCCGGTGTTGTTGTTAGAGGAGGGCCACTGCGAATGCGGAATATATATTCATGATGAACATCTACTCTAAGATCAGAGGCAGGTTGAACAATCCCACCTTCTCCTCAAGCAACAAATATCAAGTTTATTACGAATCATAAGAGTCTCTTCATTGATCCCATCATTTTTTAATCATAAGTTTGATTCATGGATTGACGCTATATACGCAGAAACAGAATAACAGAATAACAGGAGTGAGAGAGGGATATAATAAAACGTAATTAACAAGATGGAAATACACAAACAACCAAGGAAACAATAACAATAATAGTCAAGGGAAAAAAAAAAAAAAAAAAAAAAAAAAGGCTACCAAATACCGGAGAAGAGACGTTAAGGGAGGACGGCTAGTAAAAGAGAGGAGAATTGTAGATATTTCTCATATACCCCACCCGAAACCCGCCTCGATTCGCGAGGCCGGGTATCTGTAACTCGGGTTTGGCTAGACAAGTGGAATGGGAGGGGACATGCGACGTGTGAGATCTGGGCGGAACAGGAACGAGATATGCGCGGCAAAAGGGAGCGAGAAGGAGAAGGAGAAGCGAGGCTTGTGGGCGGCCTATTTCCTGAATTTACCAGCCCAGCCCACCCCGCCCCTCAGGTTTCCCTCCTGTCGTCCACCTCCCTCTTTCCCCCTTTGATATCCCGTCGATTTTTTGATCATTCATTGCCCAACAACCGGCAGCCGACGGCAATCGTTGCTTTTTCTCCGCCGGCGTAGTGTTCCAAGGAAGCGAAGGTGAGTAAATGTTGGTCGGTCGGTCGGTCGGTCGGTCGACTTTTAGGCGTTGTTCATGTCGGAGTGCTCTTCCCCTTGTGTCTCCCGTTTCCACTTCTGGCCCTTCTTCTCCGCAGGTTTGCATTGGTATATATAACCACATCTGTGTCGTTGCACGAGATAGGGATATCATGCCACCAAACCATGCCCATATACATATGTATGTATATGCAAGGAAACTCCTCACCATCAGCCTACAAATATATTTTCCACCACCGTCTCCTCCCCTAAACCAACAACCGAAAAATAAAATAAAAAAATAAAATAAAAAACGAACTCCCTTCCTGAAAAGAAAATGACAAAGAATAAAAAAACACCAGCACCATAACCAAAAAACTCAACGCCTCCTCTCAAAATACCCACTCGACCCCAACACCGCAACGCTCTGATCCATCACCCATTCGCCAATCCCCAAGTAACTTTCCAACCACTTAGTCACCTGCGGGTTATCCGATATCTTTTGCGAATTGAGGCTGGGGCTGAGAAAATGGGGTTGATCCGGCGACCCCACTTGACCCAACGACACGGACGCAGGGGGGATGTGATAGGCGGTTACAGTTGCGGTTTTGGTATGGTACGCAAGGGGCTCGGAAAAAGCTGGTCCTCCTCGTTTTCGGTGGGATGGGGTCTGTGTAATTCTTGTGGTTGCCGTATTGTGGGATAGGGAGGTGTAGTAGAGGCGGGTTAAACGAGGAGGAGGAGGAGGAGGAGGAGGAGCAGTTCCTGTTTACTTGTGTCCCATACCGCTACCGCAACATTCCGGTCCATCATTCCCCTCCCGTCGTCGCGCGTGGAAGTGGGGGGGAGAGGTGAGTGCATGTTAGCTTGTGTTTCCTTTTCACGTGCATGTGTGGAAGATTTATGATGGGGGAAGAAGTGGGAGGGGAAGGAGTTTTTGCCGATAGATAAATAGCAGATTAAAAAATAGGAGGGGGTAATGATATTTACGTTAGCCCTGTTGACCGCTTGATGCCAGCTAGAAATGCGGAGACTGTTTTTTGGGGCAATTATAATATGTTAGCTGGTGCTCCCCCGCAAGGTTGGGTTGGGGTTGGTTTGATTGTTTTGACTTTGGGGGGGGGGGAATACGTACGGAGAACGGCATCAAAGGCGTAGTGGGTTATGCGTCCGAACTGAAGGGAGAGTGTCAGTAAGAATGCTACGGAGGGATGGGATTCATTCAACATGTAGGATCTAGAGAGGGAGTGTGCAGAGGGCAGAGACGAACCACCATGGTTGATAGATTTGGTGTATGTTATCGAGGGGTGTTATGTACAGCCACGCTTTTCTTGCTCGGCTGATAGAAGACAACAGACAAGGATATCGTGGTAGCTGAAGAGTAGCTGAAGGAGAAGAGGAAGAAGCTTCGGAGAGGTGGATTTGATATTTGATATTGTCGAAGATATATACCCTACCACTGATGTTGCGATGTTTGCTAGCAGGTTGGTTCGGGCAATTCGGTTGCCTGGGAAAGCCAATGAGGCATGTGGGAAGTCATGTGACGGACCTGGACGGATCGGATCCCATATATAAGAGACGATTTACTGCTAGTCCAGACTAGGACTAGTGTTGAGATTGGATGTCTACGGAAAAACATAAATCCAGGAGATTAGCGCCACAGTTGATCCAGCCAATCAGCAGCCAGATTCCCCGCTGCACGTGGTGGGGCTCCTTTGGCCGGGTCTGGATCTAGGGCTCTTACGCAAAGATCACGCGCAAAAGGCAATTGTGTGTTCAACGATTTGTGAAATAGAGATATAAATATATATACTCATTCTTGAGGTGTCTGGGAGGGGTATCTGGGTATCTGGGACGAAGGGGGGTGTTTCTGATAGATTTTGGGGTGTTCAACGGCATCCAAATAGAAAGAATGGTTGAGTTGCAACAGAAGAATGCGACTGCAGCGGCGATTGCGGAGCAACTTGGAAAGTGGGTTTTGTTGGCTGATAAAGAGCTCACTCACTCTGAGCTCTGTGTATGTATACTATACGTTGGAACAATAAAATAATAATAATACGGAGTAATAAATCAGTAATAATAGTAATAAATAAGTTAACTAAGTTAGTTAAAATAAATATGTATGACGTAAAGCAATGTTTATAAAAAGGGAGATTTGTTTCTTCCTGTAGCTGATATCTTCTTCTCTTCCAATTCTGTTTCCCTCTTTTTTACTCCTGTAACTAACTACATAGAAGAAGAAGAAGCTGATGACTAGTTACTAACTAGTTCTTGTAACAAGAGATATCAACTATCTCTCTTCCTTCCATCCACCTACCTATATTAGTAGTTTGCGTTATTCGTTATTCTGCAAACAACCAACCAACCAACCAACCCCCTTGTCCGCCCTTGTCGAGCAAAAAGAAAAGAAGAAAAAAAGAAAAAAAAAAAGAAAAGAAAAGAAAACAATACAATACAGAAACAGGCCCCTAACCCGGGACCTCATCCCATCCCATCCCTAGCACACGAGGCCTGCCGTTCGTTGTTCTTTGTTTCCTGGCTGGTTGGGAATTGTGTAACTACGCCAACACATCTCCGGCCGCCTCCAAGATTCAACCAACGTGCCATTTAATATTAATATTATTTAATATTATTATTGGATTGGGAACGTAAGAATAACCCAGAAGCTTGCTTGCTGGCTGAGGGATAAGTTACCCCACACCTCTTTTCTTTTCCTCCCTCTGCTCTACTTCTTCTCCGTCTTCTTTTTTCCGCCACCAGTTCTTTTATCACCTCTGCAACCGTGGCCTCGCTACAAGGTCAACAGCAACAACCCACCACCAAAATGGCGAACTCTCTCGATCACCTCACGAGTAGAAGCAAGCTGGAATGGATGTCCAAGCTGCAGTGTGACTACACGCCGTTGAGGGGAGAGAATATTGCCAACTACGCAAACTTCCGCCGTACTTCCATCATCGGTACCATTGGTGCGTTTGACCTGAACCCCAAACCTCCTCATATCAACATAGTTTCTTCTACTCTACTCCTTCTTTGGTTTCTCTCCTCAACACCCCGCACTGGTGGCTGGAGCTGCAGAAGCTCGTTCTACTTTTTCATTTTTGATTTTATACCCTTTAAATTAAATCATAGACCCAAGCTAACACGCTAGCCTTTGCGTTCCTTCCTGTGGATTAGGTCCTCGAACGAATTCCGTCGAGAAGATCAATATCCTTCGCCAAGGTTCGATTTACCCCCCGCTGCGTTTCGATGTATTTAATACAGGACGACTGACTTATATATTCTAGCCGGTCTTAATGTTGTTCGCATGAACTTTTCCCATGGCGATTACGACGTAAGGGAATACATTTATTATAATTATAATATACCTGTTCTTGGATATTTGTTCCAGTAACTAAACTGGCTTGCCTTCTATCTAGTATCATCAATCCGTCATCGATAATGCTAGAAGGGCAGAACAAGTTCAGGAAGGCCGCCCTCTTGCTATCGCCTTGGATACCGTAAGCTTATATCCCTATTTCTATGAACTACATTCATAACGGCTCGTGCGAATTTGGGAGTTGATGGCTTTTACTTTCACTTTTTAACTTAATAATAGAAAGGACCTGAGATCCGAACCGGGAAAACACTCGATGGCAAAGATATCAAAATAACTGAAGGGACGGAGTTGATTATTACGTCGCATGACGATTATGCGGAGAAGAGTGACATCAATCACCTGTTGGTCCTTTCCCTGTTCCTCGTGCTACTGCGATTAGAACCCCCTCTCAGTGAAAATATCTAATCGCTATAATCAGATACGTCGACTATAAAAACATCACCAAGGTGATCTCGAAGGGCAAACTCATATACGTGGACGACGGTATCCTATCCTTCCAAGTCCTCGAAATCATAGACGACAGCTCCCTGCGCGCCAAATGTCTGAACAACGGCGTCATCTCCTCCAAAAAGGGTGTTAACCTGCCCGGCACCGACATTGATCTCCCTGCCCTCTCCGAGAAGGACAAGGAGGACCTCCGCTTCGGTGTGAAGAACAAAGTCGACATGATCTTCGCCTCCTTCATCCGCCGCGCCTCCGACATCCGTGACATCCGCGCCGTCCTTGGCGAGGAAGGCCGCGAAATCCAGATCATCGCCAAGATCGAGAACGAGCAGGGCGTCAACAACTTCGACGAGATCCTCGACGAGACCGACGGCGTCATGGTCGCGCGCGGTGATCTGGGCATCGAGATCCCCGCCTCCAAAGTCTTCATTGCGCAGAAGATGATGATTGCCAAGTGCAATATCAAGGGCAAGCCGGTCATTTGCGCAACGCAGATGCTCGAGTCGATGACATATAACCCGCGCCCGACGCGCGCGGAGGTCTCGGATGTCGCCAATGCGGTCCTGGATGGCGCGGACTGTGTCATGTTGTCTGGCGAGACGGCTAAGGGCGATTATCCCAAGGAGGCGGTTTCAATGATGCATGAGACGTGTCTGATTGCGGAGGTTGCCATTCCGTATGTCAATGTCTTTGATGAGTTGCGGAACCTGGCGCCGCGACCGATGGATACCGTCGAGTCCATTGCCATGGCAGCCGTCTCCGCTAGCTTGGAACTGAATGCGGGGGCTATTTTGGTTCTTACGACTAGGTAAGGGGAGCTTCACATACCCCCCCCCCCGCCCGGGGGGCCGCCCCTCAAACCAACAAATTTTCATTTCATATTTGAAATACTGACAATATCGTG